TAGGCTGCAGATATTAGTTGATGAGGCGAAGGAGAAATCACAACTTTTCTTCATCTGTGGGGAGTTGATAGTACATCTGGGCAATCCTATCATCTTTCACAAGGATCATAGCAGCTGAAATCACTTGATCGTGCGTCAAGCCTTCCATATTGGATAGCTCCTCAAACAAGCTTCCTCTCCTAATCATCAATGGATCTTCATGGCAAAAACTATTCGCCATCCTCTCGATGTTCACAGTAGTATGCTCCATCAGAGGTCGCATTTTTTCAATATCAACAGCCACAACATGACAACTTGAAGAACTCTTATCAATCTTTGCCTTCTTACTGGTTTTGGGATTAGCATTTGCCTTAGCACGACCAATATCTGGATCATCAAGCAGGTCTCTATGATTAACTCCTTCATTGATCATCTCCTCCAGCACGCGTTGACAAGTTTCATCGTCATACATGATGGGTTCCTCACTCAAAGCTCTCTGAACACGACCCTCTACTTCCATATCAGCTGCAGACCCGGCTTGACCACCCACAGCTCTATCCTTGCCAAATATTCTGCCAAGTTGGTCGAAGTATACAAACGACTTAGTGTTGAGGCCAAAAAAGTGTTTATGGGTATGCATGCAGGCACCAAAATTAGCAACTCACACAGTACAATCAAAGCACCTTAACCAGCAAGTAAAAAAACCCAGCAAGTACCTTAACCCACTCTTTGAAAACATCATCATCAGCCACAATCATTTTCTTGGACTCATCCCATCCAAACCCACTACAGCTCCCATTCTGCACATCATAGATGGCGTTGTATTTGTTCTTGAACCAGCGGTGCCTTGATTTGACATTCAAATTGAAACCTGGAATCCTCTTCATCATCATAGCCTCCAGCTTCTTGAATCCCCCGTTCCTCAAGTTCCCTGACTCCACCTCCTTTGACTGAACCAGATCGAGTAGGCACTCAATGAAGATTACGTCATGGTTCTCTGTCCATGACTTGTACTCCCGTAGCCTCCCCTGTCCAGCATCATTAACTTCACCCTCAACATCCTGGTTCGCTGCCATGCCTTAGGTGTTAAGTATGATAAACCAGCAAGCACCAAAACGTGTAACATTACATGTTAAATGAACAAAATGAACTACAAGAGTACCAAAATAAACAAAATATATAAAGAAAACCAGCAAAAGGAACAAACAGCAGCCATTCTGCATAATAAACAAAGAAAACCAGCAAAAGGAACAAACATATTTGTCTGCAGAATAAACAAAGAAAACTAGCAAAAGCTACAAACAGATATGTCTGCAGAAATAACAAAGAACTGCAGCAAAAGCTTCAAGCAGATCTGTCTGCAGAATAAACAAAGAAAACCAGCAAAAGGAACAACCAGATCTGTCTGCAGAAATAACAAAGAACTGCAGCAAAAGCTTCAAGAGGAACTGTCTGCAGTATAGAACAAAGAACTGACAAAGGAACCTTCTACAGAATATACAAAGAACAAAAAGAACTAAAGGAACAAACCTTTTCTCCTGCAATGTTACAGACTGTTGGAGTACCAGTTAAATAGAACAAAATGAACCGAAGAACTAAAGCATTAATTTTGGCCAACAACTAAGCACCAACAACCTGCCTTGCATTAAAGTGAAAAGAACTATTGTTCTGACATTTCCAGAAGTATAAATGCTCTTACACATAGCTTGAATAAACAAACGCATAAATGCCAACCCCTCACATGAGTTCAATAAAACAAACATGGATTACAGAGGCAAAATATTGTTCTTCTCTTAGCATAACTACACAAAAGGCCAACATTACCAACTCAACTACCCCTAATCAGTTAGTAGCCCAATTCCTAGCATCCCACAGATCTTGAGCCAACTTTTGTCTAAACTCTGACCATTCTACAGAGGGTTGGATATGGGGTATAAGCTCCTCGTCCACAACGTCTGTTTCGTCGTCTTCATCTTCGTCAATATACAACCTTTCGAACACATCAGCACCAACCTCTCCACGTATGAAATTATGCAGCAAGCAACATGCATTGACTTTCTTTGTTACCATTTTTGTTAAAAACCAGGTGGTATCTCTCAAGATTGCCCATCGCATCTTCAGTATGCCGAATGCTCTCTCTACGCCATTTCTTGTTGTTGAATGTCTCATATTAAACATTTCTTCAGGGGTTCTTGGCCGTCTCCCGTCCCAATCTTTTAGGTGATAACGTTGACCTCGAAAAGGGGACAAAACCCCCTCACAATTACTGTAGCCAGCATCACATAAGTAATAGAAACCTGTCATCATCAAGATACATTAATAAAACTCCTTCATTATAAAACTACAGTACATAGAGGAAAGAAGACAGAAACATACCTTTAGGAACTTTTAAACCATTTGGCCTAATAAGGGCATCTCTCAAAACCCTCCCATCATGAGCAGACCCTTCCCAACCCGCCAAACAGTAAATGAATTCCAAATTCTGATTAACAACTCCCAGAACATTCATTCCAATCGTTCCCTTTAGAGTACGATATCTTTCTTGATTCTCTTTTGTTGCACATACAGTGACTATTGTTCCATCAAGTGCGCCAAGACAATTCTATAAATAAAAAAATCAACAATTGTTAAAAGTTTACAAGTTTCAGAACCATCATATGCACACATGTAACAGACCCTATACCTTGAAGTGCTTCCATTTCGGATCATCATAATTCTCAAGAACGGGCTTGGGTTTACGAAGTAATATAGAGTGCAGATTCAAAATCGAATGAAGAACAGTTTTGATGACCCTACATATGGTTTCTCCTGAACGACGGAAGGTGACCTGCAGCTGACGATTCTTCTTATTATGGGCTATGGTGTAAAGAAAGATGGCCACCATCTCATCTATTTCGATGTTACAAGTACATCTAAGGCCTCCGCGATCCCTAAGAAGCTTACAAAGTTTCTGAAACGTCATACAGTTCATTCTAACTAGCATAGTGCAAGATACGTCGCCGTGGGAAACAATACATCGCATGAGAGATTTCCTAGCTAACTGTCTAGAAATAGGTGTCTCCCAAGCAGACACATGTTCTATTCTTTGCACACGTTCAGATGCTAATGCGTCATAATAATTGATAACAAGCTTGATGAAATTGAAAAAAGCTCCAAGTACATGGAAATCGCAGCTATGACTGCCTTCTTCCTTTGCTTGGGGCACCTTGCCATGACCTTGCCTTCTATCACTGAATACTTGTTGAGCTAGCCCAGAAATTAGAGAGTTGTAGGAAACCCCGTCCTTATCCTTCAGTTTGCTGAAAACTTGCTCAACAGATGTGAAATTCCCCAAACGAGAATACAATGTCACTAAAGCATTGCATACAAATGTTTCAGAAGAAAATCCATGCTTGATAGTCAGGGCATGAAGCTGCATCCCAGTTTCAAACAGCTGTCCTTTGGTGCAGGCACTTAAAACACTGGAAAATACATACGGAGTGAGAGATGTTCCTTCTGCATGCATTTCACAAAATAGGTGTAGGGCTTCACCTTCACACCCATTTTTTGAAAGACCAGCTATCATAGAAACCCAAGAATCACTATCTTTCCAATCTAAATTGTCAAAAACCCGTTTAGATGAAGAGATTAACCTCATTTTAGCATACAGATCAATAAGAGGATTCAATGCTATAGGATTAGAATCCACACCATGGAAAATGATCCTTGCATGAATCTGCTTGATTTCTGGGCTAGCTCAACACCATTAAGAATAGATGGGTACTGATTGAAACTAGGGATATACCTGTTTGATTAAGCAGACAACCAATGAACGAGCTCCTTCAATTGACAACCAATGATCCTTGCATGAATCTGCTTCGGTTCCTGGGGATTTTCCAATGGCGAGATGTGTAGAGCAAGGTCCGCCACGACTGAACTGGGGATATTCCTGTCCGTTCCGCAAACGATGAACGAACGAATGAGCTTCTTCAATTGTCGGCAGAATAAGATGTTGAGTCCATTCTGCTTCAGTTCCGAGGGATTTTTCAATGGCGGGATGTGTAGACTTAGGTCCTTGTCCGTCGTGCTGGCGATGATAATGGATTTTTGTTGGAGATGGAGGGAGAATTTTAGGGATAGATATTGTCGAACTCAAGAGCAGGGGAGGAGCTTCTTTTTCTGGAAACTGCACGAAAGAAAGGTGTGTGAGAGAGAGAGAGAGAGAGAGTTGCTGATGAGGGTAGTCATGGGATAAAGCAAAATTACCAGGGATAAAAATGGAATAATAAAATGGACAGACAATCCCTTATTATAATCTCAACTTTTGGTTGAGATTAGAAATCACTCAATTTGAATGATTGTGGGTGGGGCCACAAAAAGAGATTACATGTATTCTGGACTAAATTAAACAAAAAAAAAAAAACGACACAATCTCACCATTACATGTATTCATTAAATCATTCACTTGAAATCACATCCTCCAAACAAGCCCTAAATGTCTTTCTATAAAATATAAATAACTTAAGATAAACTATAAATATAGTAGTATCATCACCAAACATATTCCTAGAGTTTAATTAAAAAAAAAATAAACACAATATAGTCTAGTTGATTATAATGCTCTTTTTTCATTTAAGTGACCAACGTTCGAACTCCAATGATAACATTTTAAATATATAAAGATAAAGTGAGTGCAATGACAAAAATGACATTTCTAGAATTATTTTCCGAGATTTGAAATGAGAGAATTCCAACCCATGTGGAGAGCCAAAATCCAAAACCTGGCGACCTTTTTCCCGATCTGACGAAAATGCCCTCATTTATTCCTTACTTGCGAATTGCGACGATTCTTCGAGAGAGCCGCGTTGTAGGATATAAAAGCTCTGGGGATCGCGAGGGGCAAGAAAAGTTGGGAGTGAAATCGAGAGTGTACGGTGTCACAGAGATCGGAGGTATCAGAGGAACGAGGCAGCGGGAAGAGAAGGTAACGGAACGAGAAGACGACGGCGCAACCGGCGGCGATGACAGAGACGAAAGAAACTATGAGGATTTGCGTCAAAACTCTGAAGGGCAGTACCTTCGACATCCAAGTCAAGCCCCAAGACACGGTAATCGGCCTTGTTTAAAGGTTTAGGGTTCCTAGTGTTTCTGAGATTGAATTTTCGTTTGGAAATCGGAGCAGCGAGTGTTGATTGCGATTGTTTACTATTTCGGTCTCAATTGATGCTGGTTGCTTATTGCTATCTTTATCATTTTGATTCAAGCTGTTTACTCTAGCTTGAAATTCATATTTGTTCTTCAGAATTTTGCTGAATTCAGAAGCGTGTTTGGGAGTTGGATGATGATTTAGGTGTGGCTGGACCTCGATTCCTAGCTTGATTCTGTGAATCGCTGAGTAGTTGAACTACTTCCGTGGCACTAATGTTTGACAATTCTGGTTGTGGACGATGTGCTTGTGACGTGCCGCAGACGAATTGTTTTCCTCTGTGCTTAGTGTATTGGATGATGGTGGATTAGGCTCTCAGCTGTTTAGATAGCTACGTCAGTGCTTGATTGTAGGTCTGGGGTAGTAGGGGTTACCTACCTACAGTTAATTGCTTGATGATGAAAACTTTTGTAGATTGAATCATCTAGCTATACAAGTGAAGTAACTGAGTAGATCAATTTCCAACCTGGAGCCACTTGGTTGCTGACATAACTACCTACAGTGAATTGTTTCATGATGAAATTTTTGAAGATTAAATCATCTAGCTATGGTGAAGTAACAGAGTAAATAATTTTCCAACCTGGAGCCACTGGGTTGCTGACTGAGCGCTTTGGAACTTAAGAATTGGGCAGATATTCATAGCAGTAACACCAGAAGGAATGGCTGTGAAAGAGGGAGGGTGTATCTCTGCTTTTTTGTTTATCATATCTCTATCTTGAGCAGCCTGTGTGTGTGTTTTTTGTGGGGCATGGGTTGGTGATTGGTATGGCTTGACTTGGTGCACTAATTTGTAGTCTATCTCATGCCCTTCTGTGATGAATTGGCCATAACTATGTCCATTTATGACATGTTTAACATAGCACCATTTCCTAGATTCAATTAGTCGGAGGTGGGGGGATCAAAGCTGTGAGTGGAGCAGTAGAGCATGTAAATTCCTGTGGGTTCCTTTTACAATTCGCAATATTGCTCTAAAAGCATCTTATAATCTTTCCATCAAGATCCTTACTTTTCCTTTGCTAAGTTTAGGTCGCTGATGTCAAGAAGAGCATAGAATCTGCACAAGGAGCAGACACTTATCCTGCTGGAGAACTGATGCTTATCCACCAAGGGAAGGTTCTTAAGGATGAAACGACATTGGATGAAAATAAAGTTGCTGAAAATAGCTTTGTTGTTGTCATGATAAAAAAGGTGAGATCAGTTAGATATACTTTTAGTGGATTCACTTTTCGTCTTGCTTGACACTCTAGTATTGCTTCCCGTCCTTTGATTTGCATTATGGTTCTAAATTCGTGCATTGCTTTATCTTTGTAGAAAAACTCTTCTGGCGAAGGTTCAGCTTCAACAGCAAAGGTAATACTGAAACATTACATGTATCTGATGCTTTGATTGTCTCAAGGTTTCTGGTTTAGAGCCTACCTCTTTACATGTAATCATATATTGTCTTGTCAGTCTCCTTTTAGTTTTCCATGGTTTACAAGTTTTTCCTGGGGAAACCTCTTACTATTATCATCAATATAATGGAACTGTGGTTGTATAATAGGCACCTCAGACCAGTGCCCCATCATCAACAGCACCACAAGCTCCTGTAGCAGCACCGTGAGTATATATACATATCATGATGTGCATTCATTAAGTTATAAAATTTTGCTTAAACTGATTTTTTGAATTCCTTTGTAATGTCAGGCCAGCTCCGGCTCCGGTTTCGGCTCCAGCTGCAGCTCCTTTGGTTGCTCCTGCGTCTGCAGCACCTGCTGCTCCTACATCTTTAGTTGCTGCTACGTTAGTATCTCACTTCTGTTGCTTCAAGTCATGTTTGTTGTTTAATTTGGTCTCATTCTTTTACCTTGTCATTGAGTAGTCTACAGAATTCTCTTCACTTGCTGCTGCTTTAATATCTTCTTCCCTGTCACTTGCTTCAAGCGGTGTATGTAACTCTAACATGTGCATTTATTGAAGTTTGTTAAAACCCTTTTGGTCACTGATTTGTTTTTTATTTCACTTCTGAACAAAATGGTTGATGGTTCAGGTCTGACGCCAATCCTTATGGTCAAGCAGCATCTACATTGGTGGCTGGGACTAACTTGGAAGGAGCAGTCCAGCAAATCCTTGATATGGGTGGAGGTACCTGGGACAGAGAAATTGTTATTCGGGCACTCCGTGCTGCTTTCAATAATCCAGAGAGAGCTGTTGAATATCTGTACTCTGTAAGTCCTGCAACACCTTTCTATGTGCTTAAGCTCTCTATATGACTAGCTACAGCAATGACAAAAAACGTCGGCATTTATTACTTACCCTCAGAATCACGCTGGATCGCTTTTGAAAGAACTTTTTATTCCAAAAACTTGAGGCAATAATCATCTTTAATCCTTTGTTGTGCATCTTCTGGTCACACATCCTTTCCCTGCAATGACGGGTGGCGCTCTTTTTGTTGCTTTGGCTCATTGGATTCTAACGTTTATGAGAATTATTACGGATCTCTTAGTACTTTTCTTTTGAGTTGTGAATCTGGACTTCAACAATGCGACTGTAGATATTGTTACACTGTATCTGGATAATGAGCCCTTCAGTTTCATGATCATACAGTTGTTGTTGAATGAGGTGTTCGATTTGTCATTAGTAATCTTTAACCAATGAATCTGGCATAGTAGATCTAGGTTCAGATTCAAACTTTTTTGGCAGAAAGTGATAGTATGCTGGGACTAGGTTGTCAATTCATTTTCTTTTCCTACTAAATTATAATGTGGGAACAAAAGTTTAGCGATCATCTAGTTATTGTCCCTAAATATACTTCCATTTATTCTTTAGTAGTCTTACGAGATTTTTCTTCTAATGACCTAAGCCCTGTGCTGGTGAACTACTTTGAACTTTAGTAAGATCTTTCTGTTTTGTTTTGTCTATCTGTGATTCCTTAGCAAGTTCTTTCTTCGAGATTGAACCTTCTGGCTGTAGGCTCCATACTAGCTTTCTCTATAGTGTCTGTGGCTTTCAACTTATGAAGTAGCTAATTTCAGGGTATTCCTGAGCAAGCTGAACCTGCAGCACCAGTACCACAAGCACCTGTGAGCGGACAACCTGCAAATCCAGCTGCAGCAGCAGCAGGAGCTGCACAGGCTGCAGCCCCAGCTGCAGGGCCCAATGCAAATCCTTTAGACCTTTTCCCTCAGGTAGTAGTTTGTCAATCCAAAATCTAAGTACAGACAGCTGGGAGAGTTTGGAAATGATGATTGCTTTTGTTATTTTTTTCCTTGAAGGGCCTTCCCGCTGCTGGAACAGGTGGGGCTGGTGGCGCTGGAACACTGGACTTCTTGAGGAACAGTCAGCAGGTCTCTTCCTCTTCCTTGTTGGTTGTGCATATTTCTTCTCTCTCTCTCTCTCTCTCTCGCTTTATGTGAAGATCACTGAGTTTGTTCCGTTTGATTTCTCTTTCCAATGTCAGTTCCAAGCCTTGCGAGCTATGGTGCAGGCTAACCCACAGATATTGCAGGTTCTACTACAGTTTTCAGATGATTTGGTACTTATAGCTCTTCATTCTAGATATATTTATTACTCACATTGGTAATGCTGGCATCTTTTAGCCCATGCTTCAAGAATTGGGGAAGCAAAATCCTCATCTAATGAGACTTATTCAAGACCATCAGGCAGACTTCCTTCGTCTGATCAATGAACCTGTCGAGGGTGGAGAGGCGTAAGAATCTCTCTTTGCTTTACTGGTTTTGTTTATTATAAGTGCTTATTCTTTACTCGGTGGTTCCTGATACTGTTCTTTGATTATACAGGGGCATATTGGGGCAGCTTGCTGCTGCTATGCCACAGTCGGTGACCGTTACTCCTGAAGAGCGTGAAGCACTAGGCCGCGTAAGTATCAGTTAAACCATTTTGCTTATTACTCTTCCACGATTTGAGCTTGAAGCAATCGTTGCATTTGGTATCGGATTATCACCCTGTTCTTTTCACCCCTTTTATTTTGCAGCTTGAAGCGATGGGATTTGATCCACAAATCGTGTTGGAGGTGTTCTTCGCCTGCAACAAGAACGAGGAACTGGCTGCCAACTATCTTTTGGACCACATGCAGGACTTTGAGGAATGATTTTAGGAATTGGAAAAACGACATCTTATCAGCACCCTCCACCCTGTTCAATGCCCGCGCTCCCTCATAGAGAACAGTTTTCTTTCTTCTTCTTCTTCTCTTCAGGTTTTCTTGTCGGTCTCTTTTTCGCTCTTTTTCTCAGTTTCCTCTCGGATTGAATATCATCTTCGTAAATGACATTTCAGTAACAGTTTGGAAGCGCTATTATGTGAAGTTTCTTAAGACGGAAGATGGACGAGAGACTGAACATTTCTTCTCCAGGTTCTCTTTTTGTTTCTAGGATTACTGAGCTGCTGATAATTTGATATATATCCTGTCTTTGTTTAGCTGGGATGGTTGATTTCCATTGACGACACAGGCATTACTATTCGTTCTCCTTAATCCCCTCGTAACAAGAAGCTTGAACTTATGCCTTTCTGTAATGGTATTTGGCCTCATTATTGACGTCTAATCTAGAAGTGAATTGAGACATTGAGGGAACCAACCGCATTTCACGTACAACAGTAGTGTGAACTTGAGAAATTTAGATAAGAAGTCTCATGATCATCAATCATGGTTCATGGAACATCCAATCATCATGTAATTCTGGAAGATATGAAAAAACCAACCAAAACGGAGGAGAAAAGGGGAGGAGGTTCATCCACCATACGCGTCATTATCAGATATTTCCATGTCAAATTGTCAATCGTGATTATTCAATCGAGTCAACAAGGTTGTGCCATATTGCTATTATGGGAGTTGAACTACGCTTTTTTTTTTCTTTTCTTTAGGTAAACAATTGTTTAGTTTATGTCTTTGTTTTCGTTTGATGGATTCGAGTCATTTGCTCGTGGCCAAATCGCTTTTCTCCCCCTTAATATTTTACATGAATTAGGACGAGTAACGATTCGACTCATATATTTTAGCACTCCTTAAATCAGATTTCTGACTTCAGCACTAATTATTTCTAGAAACTTACATCTTTTGATATACTAATATTTTATGTGGTAGTATCCATTTGGTCATTTTTTTACATGCACATATCCGGATCAAAGAAACAAAAAAATCCTTTTGAATCTATTGAATATTTATGTTTTTTGTCAATTGAGTATTTCTCCTAATGAATATTTAGAACCATAGTCTATTTACAAATGTCGGTACCGCTTTTTTTTATAACCTGGGAACATCTACACATATCGCTTTGAGCGATGGCGGAGCAAGACCGAACCTGGGGGTTCACCTGATGGACCTCGAAGGGGGTCGAACAAGATATTTGTCACTTCTCAAAACGAACGCCTACTAAAAGTTTCACAAGCTATGTGACCTTTGACGGTCAGTACCGTCTTATCATTTCTTCACACAATCATTAGGTTTACATGATAAAAAAATTTATTAACCAACACCACACTCATACTATAAATAAATACATATATTTATAGGAAAGATCAAACGGTATCTACCCACTAGCAACACAACCAATTCTCGGTCAATATGCTTGTGTCCCCATGGATTGAACAGAACTAAATATTTTATAGTTTTCTGAAGACAACCAATACTTTCTTCCTTTTGACTGGCAACAGTAATATTGAACTGATTATTGAGGATGTCTATTTTATATCAAAATGGGCTTGCAATTATTGTTATCTCTAGCTCGTATAAATTAGTGATATTTTGAAAACAAGATTCAGATGTGCAAGGCGAAGGCGTGGACGCCGCCATGAGAAATGAAAGAAACGACTTCATGATGACACTGATCGATCCATCCAATCACTCTTAAGTCTTAAAATTTGCGTTAGATCCTTTGTTATTGCGCCATCAGGATCGTCATCAGTTTTAACAGTTTGTTTAAAGCTTCAGTGGAAATGAACATAATTTTTCATTCATTTATATTGATTAACATGACACAATCAAATACTCAAATACAATATCGATAAGTTATAATCTAGACAATTCAACGAATTGTAGCTAGAGACATTTTTTGAAAAACAAGATAAGGCCAGAGTTATTTTTAATATAATAAAATGAAAATCTAGTTTTTTATTATCAAAAGTTCACTCAATTAAAGGAGAAAACATCCAGATATAAAGAGTTACATAGCCAAAAATAGCCCGGAAACAATATCGAATATCATTACTCATTAACGAAAGGAATAATGAAAAAGTTTTTCTTGCCATAAAATGAACAATCCTATTACATTTATGACCAACAAAAATAAGTAAAAAATTATGGAATGATGCACTTAATGCTCGAATCTCCTACAAAACTGTACGCCCATGAGCGTCCACCTGCTGGGTGCTGACCCTCACGAACCTTCCTTAGCATAACTTAGACATCCCCTGCAAAGACAACTGAATGTAGGCCTCGAGCTACGCATGTTAGAAACAAATAATTTGCAGTTTTTGGGTTAATTCGCTTTATTTGTCGGTTTTGTTAATTGGGGGATTATTTGGGAAATTTGCGCAATAAACTAGGAGTCGATTGTTATGTTTTAATTGTTGGGTAGGAGATAGGAATTATGCGGATTATATAATCTGCAATAGGAGTTATTTTGGCATTAAGCAATAAAGTATTAAAAACCTAAAATCTACTCTCTCTCTCTCCCTCTCTCTTCCTGTGTCCCCTTTCCTTCTTCCTCTCCCCAAAATCGGCAGCAGCCCTCTCTTCCCCTCTCTTTGTCTCAATTCTCCAATTTCTAATCCCTAGTTCGATCAATCCCTAATTGATCTAGCTAATTCCCAATTCCCAAACCCGTTAGAAACTTTGTTTCTAACATATGGTATCAGAGCCTGGTTCGAGAGTGAGTTCTTTTGAGCTCATGAACCAGGGAAAGCGGCAATGGTATCGACGAAGTCAATGAAGGCGGCAGAGAAGGCAGCTCAGGCAGCCGAGAAAGGCACCGATGCGGGTGACGTAGGGCTCGACGGGGAGTTAGAGGATCTCACGGAGATCGAAGGGCTGAGGAAGGTCATGGAGACGCAAGCAGAGAGGCAGGCGAGGGTCGAGGAAGAGCTGAACAGTTTGCAGGTGCAAGCCAGAGATCATGGTCGCACTCTCGACGCGTTGTTGGCGGCTGTGGAGGCGTTGCAGGGGCAGGTGAGCAGTCTGACGGAGGCTTGGAAGAGAGGCGGGGCAGCGGCTGGCGACGGCGGGAAGCCGCCGGAGGAGAGAGGCGCGGCGGAGGAGTCCGCCTCGGTGGCGGCGGTCGGCGGCCAGGGAGCCGAGAAGGGTTCGGCGGAAGGGGGGGCAGCGGCAAGCAACCCTAGCCGACCCCCTGTTTCGCGTCCGGGCCAAGTCTCGTTCGGCCCAACAATCAAGGATGGGCTTCTGCCTACTCCATCGGCCCAGGAGATGGCTCGTGCGCGTGGCAAGGCAAAGATGGCCGAGTATGTGGATCCGGGCCCACACGCGGGCCTGAACTTGGAGGAGCTGGTGGATCCGGAGCAGGAGAGGGATCGCGGGCCTTGGCCCAACGAGCAGAGTGGGCTGGGCGCGGATGGCTGGAAAGAGGAGCGCAGCCTGATGGGCCGAGCCCGGTGGGAAGGCGGACCGGGAGGAGGCTGGAGAGAGTCGGGCCGGCCGGGGGCAGCGGGCTGAAACCAACCGGGCCGGGGTGAATGGGGCAGAGCAGGGGCGGGCCGGGTCCCCGGAGGTCGAACCGAGACTGGTCGGACCGAACCCGATCGAACCAAACTCGGTCGAACTGAATCCGGTCGAACCGAAACTGGCAGGTCCATGGTCGAACCGGTCCAACCGATGGGGTATCCGAACCAGGCGGACAGCAGGGGCTGCCCGGGGCCGCAAGGCCAGTTCGACGAGTATTGTGGGCCCCTTCTTTCTTCTGCACTTCAGCGGGGCGCCGGGAAGGAATCCAGGACGTGGACGGGGGATCGAAGGCCGAGGAGTGAGTTAAGCGGGAGAGCAGGGTACCAGGAGGAGGAGGGGGACGACTGGGGGTGTGACGGGGATCCGCAGTTCACCCAGCACTACCACAGTGGGGGCCCAAGCGGTGGAAGGAATACCGGTTATTTCCGGGGTGGGGAGGAAGAGGAGGATATGGTGTTTCGAGCTCGGCCTCCCACCATTGAGTTTCCGAAATACAATGGTCGTGAGGATGCAGGACTGTGGCTGTACTCAGCTGAGCGATGGTTCAAGAACCACCCCACTAGGGAAGAACGAAAGGCTCAGCTAGCGTCCTTTTACCTGGAGGGAGATGCCCTGCAGTGGTGGGAGTGGATGGAGCGGACCTATGCCAAAGCTCATACGCTAATCACTTGGCCGATGTTTAAGGAGGAGTTGCGGTATCAGTTCGGGAAATCCGAAGGGTGGGCCTCAGAGCAGCTGGCCAAGCTGCGGCAGACAGGGACGGTGGGTGACTATAGGGCCGAGTTCTTTAAGCTGGGTAATCAATGCAAGGGTGTTTCCGAAGAGACGTTGGTGGGCCTGTGCATGGCGGGACTCCGTCCGGAGATTGCAGCTGCTGTCCGGGTATTTGAGTCAGATTCACTACGAGCTGTTTTTCGTCTTGCAGGTAATAAGGAGGAGGAACTGGCTAGCTGGCGGGGTGTGATAGGCCGATATCAGAAGCCGAGCGGAGGAGGAAGTGGAAGCGGGCCGAGTAGCGGGACGGGGGTTCCGGCGCCGGGCCCTAGCACGAGAGGGGGTGCAATGACTGGTCCACCCACCGTGGCCATTCGGGCGGGACCGAGGGCACCGCCCAAGGGGTTTACTAGGCTATCCCCTGCCGAGATCGAGCAGAAGAGGCGGGAGGGAAAATGTTTTAACTGCGACGAGAGGTTCACCTTTGGTCACAAATGCGGGAAGCCTGATCTAATGTTCTTGGCGGGGCGCTGGGAAGATGAGGCCGAGGACGAAGCCGTAGAGGATTCGGGAGCAGGGCAAGAGAAGCTTCAACCTTGAGGACAAGGTTGCTTTCCAAGGAGGCAGGGATGTTAGAAACAAATAATTTGCAGCTTTTGGGTTAATTCGCTTTATTTGTCGGTTTTGTTAATTGGGGGATTATTGAGAAATTTGGACAATAAACTAGGAGTCGATTGTTATGTTTTAATTGTTGGGTAGGAGATAGGAATTATGCGGATTATATAATCTGTAGTAGGAGTTATTTTGGCATTAAGCAATAAAGTATCAAAAACCTAAAATCTACTCTCTCTCTCCCTCTCTCTTCCTGCGTCCCCTTTCCTTCTTCCTCTCCCCAAAATCGGCAGCAGCCGAGCCCTCTCTTCCCCTCTCTTTGTCTCAATTCCAATTTCTAATCCCTAGTTCGATCAATCCCTAATTGATCTAGCTAATTCCCAATTCCCAAACTCGTTAGAAACTTTGTTTCTAACAATGCACCACTGTATTGCATCCCGCAGCGCCAATCGCTCTACAAGAAATGCATAAGCGAATTTTTTTTGAATTATTAGCTCTTAATTTGATACACTAATAATCTAAATTAATTGGATTGATGGTAGAGGCCTATAATTAAGGCTAGAGAATCCTTGATAATATTTATTTCTTAACTGCTAGTGATTGGTTCTCAATAAATGACTCCAGATAATTTTTTACCAGTAGGCATAATTTATATCGGTTGGACTTATGATCTAATATTTAGAGGTCCAGACTAAAAGGTTTGAGAATCAAAGACCGGGACTCGCTGGTTTCTATGCCTATATTAGAGTGCGTGTCAACACATGCTAATTATCAACTTCGGTTATAACACACTTTATTATCGATGTGTCTATAAGGTATACTAAGGAGAACACAACATCTCTAGCACCAGAAAATACTTAAACAGTGACCTCAATCAATCGGGTGCAAATCCCCCTATACCAAAGTGACTGTCACTATCCCAACTTTAAAACTCAAATGCTGATCACCGGCCACTTTCCCTTTGGCATAGTTTTCGGGTACGCAATGAGAAGAAGCAAGACGAATGTGGGTTCGCATTTGCCTTTTCACGAGCACATTTCGTGACTGTTTTGATTTTTAAGGTTATGGAGATGGATTGGTTAGTGATGATGGAAAACCAGCTAGCTAGCTAGCTAGTAAGTGCGTTTTGATGGACTAGTACCAGTACTGAACTACAGATCGTTTTTCTTTTCATGGCGGGGACCTCTCAAGGAGTTTTGCCGTCCATGGATATAGCTTTACAGCTCCACAAGGACACATGGGGTGAAGGTAGTGATGACAATGGGCTAGGTTGGGCGGGTATCTCAATAGTCATATTCGTCCCTTATCAAGCGCTGGTCAGATCGGGTATTATTCATGCGGGTACAGGTGGAGGCAGGTCGATCCATTCTTATATATTATATGAAGAAAACATTATTTTTAAATGAGAAAATAAAACAAAGTTAGTTCATAGAGCTAATATGTAAACTAATTGAGTCCAATTAGTTGGAAGATAAAGTCTTGCACATATCTAAAGTATCATTGAGTGAAAATATGAGTAAAAAATAGGGCAATGTCTATTTTTTTATCCAAATCTTTTTTCAGATTCTTTTATAGTATCCAAACCTATTAAAATGTTATTAATTAGCCAAATCTTCCGTAGTGCATTAAAATATTATCCATGTTTACGTTATCGTTAATAATTTTATAACTCTTTTCTTAGTTAAAATGCTAAAATTTAGGAATGTTGATATTCATGTGTCTCTTCCAAGTTAGTATCATGTTGCCAAGTCAATATTACTAACAAAATTGCTAATTGAAAGATAACATTTGGCTAATTCTTATTATTTCGATAGGTTTGGGTAATATAAAAGAATCTGAAAAGGATTTGTATAAAAAATAAACATTACCCTAAAAAATAAGTCGAAAAAATAGAAATATTAAGACAAATCGAGATTGGACGAGTCAATGGAGCTGGATAGATCTGAAGTAATATTCATATCATGTCCCACACTACTACGAATCGGGTATTATCCGCCTCCGTTCAAATCATATCGAATAATACGTGACGAAGCGGATTCAAATTGCCATAACGGCTTCCCTTGCATAGGGCACGTGGATGGATTTTTGTGCTCTCCGGCTTTCGCTAATGGAGTTTTGGTGGGTCATATTTCAGTGGTGGACTTGAGTTGAGGAGAGGGCCAAACTAAAGTAGTGCATGCGTATACAGCAAACCTTATCAGAAAATAGGGAGTTATGTTTGTCGGACGTTAAAGGCATCGAGTGTAGAAGAGAAAAAAGAGAAGACAAAGAGCAGAAGATCTATGTTAGGAATAGCTGGATAGGATTTGGGAGGACAGGAAGTGGATATTTTCTTCGTTTATGGAAGAGGAAGATCCAAAATGGAAAAAGGAAGGCGGTATGTGCAAAGATATGGCAAAGCTGGCGTATGAGTAATCATATCACCTTGGCCACTTTTCCCTCTAAATTTTGTGGTTGGTCATGACAATGAGATAGTTTACTCTTTTGTTTTTTTTAATAGGTTTCTCATCAAGGGTGGGAGACAAAGGGGAGAAAAATTGTGCGTTACGAGTTTATTGAAATTAGGATCTCTGAGTTCGAAGTCATATATATCTAATTCATTATAGTAAATTTGTGCTGACATTGTTAGTTCAAGAACTGAAGCTGTGGAATATCTTTCTCATTTGGGATAATGATTAGAAGACAAGTCGAGCTGATGTGTTCAGTTGAGTTAAAGCGGCAGCATTTAGTTAAGTTTGTGGTAAATAAAGTGGAACTGTGTAGTTTCTTTTAGTTTGTGTTTTAGTCCTTGAAGTTGTAAATTGGGTCAATAGAGACATGTAGGTTATTACTTGTGATATGGATTTAGGAAAACACGACAGATTACTTGTGAGGTAGCTTTCAGATAAGGGCGAATGAATTAGGGAAGGGAATTAAACAGGTGATTCACTACAAAGCTCCCTTCGGGATGATAATAGCTTTTAGATAAGGGCGAATGAATTAGGGAAGGGAATTAAACAGGTGATTCGCTACAAAGTTCTCTTAGGGAGCTTTGTAGTGAATCGCCTGTTTTGATCAAAGCTCCCTTCTGGTTTTGATCCCTTAGTGAGTTCACTAAAAGACTGCAAAGGTTGTGGCTGGGATGATCAAACTCTCAAAGTCTAAAATGACTATGGAATGGGTGGAAGAGGTCTCTATCAAGGAGGAGGTAGAAGCTGGAATAAGGAGTATGTTGAGTGCTTCAAGTACCATAAGTTGGGGCACTTTAAATATGAATGCTCTTAGTGGTACAGTAATCAAGAGGCTCACTATACAAGTTTCCAGTCATGTTCAGGATAAGACCTATGCAGACATGAATGAAGACATGTTGTTAATTGTAGGTGTTGAGTCTAAAGACTCGATTGAGTGGGAAGATGAAACACAAGGTCTAATGGCTCTTTCTGAAGCTATTATGGAAGATACAAGTGGTGACTGGTGGTTTTTATATTCTGGCTGTAGCAACTACATGAGTGGTGTAAGAGGAAGTGGTTACCAACATTGACCCAAGCTTTGCCTGCAATGTAAGGTGACATATGTAATCTTTCTACATAAGAAGGGCGTGTGAGATTCAAAAGATCTGGAGATTGTATCATGTACACTTCCTAAATTAGGATGTCGTGGACGAAGGCATTGCTGAGGTTGAGGAGATGATCCATCCACGCGAGGTAATAATAGCAATTTGAGAGTATTAGATGATCCATCGGATACTATCAGTATAATAATATCATGATATGACAGTGGTATCATAGTGGTGAGTCTTACCATTATGATCATAGTATGTCAATAATGAGATATTATGAAGTCTTATATTTGAGAGGGGAAATTATGTTATCATAACATTGCCATATCATGCTCTTACCATTTTATTAGAGTGATACTATTGTATGATGATGATATGGTAGTAAAAAGATTACAATAAACACATGTTTTGAAATGATACATTTTTTCCTCATAATATAACAAAATGATATCATTGTGTAGATCATAAACAAAGAAGATATGACGTCATATCACTGTCATATCATGATGATATGACGGTGATAATATTACATCCAACACAAGTTTTAACTTTTAAAGATAATTTTTTATCATATAACAAAATGTATATTGTAGTGTGATCATCAATAATGCATTTGTTGTATGCAATTTTTTTAAATTTCAAGTTAAAACAAACGAGATATAACTCAATTAAGAAAAATGATATATTATAAATGATAGATATTAATTATTCAAAGATTATATGAGTTGTGTGGATCGTAATCGTATACACAAGTTTAATGGATTGCTCTAAATTCATGTTTCATGTGATTCCGTGGAATACAATTTTGTACCATATCAAGCTCCTATTTTCAATTACCAAAATCTTATAAAAGACGAGGAAAAAAAAAGCAATCCGTATAACATAGTCTAATAATTTTCGCAATTATTACAAAATGGAATAAAAATAGTAGCATCCCATATCCATACTCTCTCCACCACCACCACTTCCTAGCTTGGACAGTACTGATAATGATATGTATGTAAAACGATTGATCAACCAGCCCAATTAGCCCTACCATATGCCTCTCACTACCAAGCCAAAAAAAAAAAAAAACCCTCCACCCATCTCTCTATAAATAAAAGCCATAGCTCCCGCCCTTCTCCACACACACTGATAACACACCAGCCACACACAGAAGGAAGAAAAAACAAGAAAAAAAAAGCAACAGCACCAACATTCATTCACATAATCAGCAACAAGAAGAAGAAGAAGAAAAAAAGAGAGAGAGAGACATGGTGGATGCTCCCATGGCGCAGGAGAAGGATCAGCAGAGGACCCCAAGGCCCAAGGGCGGAATGATCACAATGCCCTTCATCTTCGGTACTACACCATCCATCCTCTCTCTCTCTCGCTCTCGCTCGCGTTTTAAATAATTCGCGAGTCGCGTTCAAAAAATGAATCTTATATCATTTTCTCACGTTCGTTCGCGTGTTACACAGCCAACGAAGCGACGGAGAAGCTAGCTGTGGTGGGATTCGGCACCAACATGATCAGCTACCTGACCACACAGCTCCACATGCCCTTAACCAAAGCCGCCAACACCCTCACCAATTTCGGCGGAACCGCCAGCCTGACTCCCTTACTCGGCGCCTTCCTCGCCGACTCTTATGCCGGCCGTTTCTGGACCATCCTCGCCGCCTCCCTCGTCTACCAAGTCGTAAGTAGCACCCTAATTAGGACCCAATTGCAAGAAAATAAAAATTTAGGTATTAAATCGAAAAAAATGAGTAACGACCCCTAAACATTTTGCTTGTTCGAATTTGATTGTGTCATAGTTCTATTATTAATTGTGATTAATTTCAGGGCATGGCGGGCCTGACGCTGTCGGCGATACTCCCGAGCCTCCGCCCTCCGCCTTGCGACGGCGGCGGCGGGAAGATCTGCCAGCAGGCCGACACGGGCCAGCTGGCGATACTGTACCTGTCGCTGGCGCTGGCGGCGGTGGGGGCGGGCGGGATCCGGCCGTGCGTGGTGGCGTTCGGGGCGGACCAGTTCGACGAGACCGACCCGAAGCAGGCGGCGAAGACGTGGCGGTACTTCAACTGGTACTACTTCGTGATGGGGGCGTCGATCCTGCTGGCGGTGACGGTGGTGGTGTGGGTGCAGGATAACGTAGGGTGGGGGTGGGGGCTGGGGATCCCGACCCTGGCGATGTTTCTGTCGATCGTGGCGTTCGGGTTCGGGTACCCGATGTACCGGAATTTGAACCCGGTGGGCAGCCCGTTTACCCGGCTGGTGCAGGTGTCGGTGGCGGCGTGGCGGAAGAGGAAGGTGGGAGCGGTGGCGGATCCGAGGGAGCTGTATCGGAATGAGGAGATCGATGGGCCAATTTCCGTGGGCGGGAAGCTTCTCCACACCAAGCAAATGAGGTAACTAACTAATTCCATTCACTAATTTCATTTCCTTCGTAGTTATTAAGACTAAAGATAATATATAATTTCTTTCTTTTTGGATTCTACTGTAGTCTAAAATATTGGTGTTTGAAGTTATAAATCGAACTTACGCCGTGACGTTAAAAGAGTGCAATTTGTATCATCAATGAATTTTTAAATTTACGTTATAATACAAGTTCGCCTTTCACCAATTATCATAACATAAAATACAACCATAAATGAATTTGTAAAAAAAAATGCATTGATACAAATTGGGGTAATACAATTTAATATCCAAACCTTTCTTTTTAAACAATATAATATCCAAACCTTTTCGAAACAATTTAATATCCAAATCGTCAACTTTCTGTCTGTTTGATCGTTAGTTGACACTTCAAAAAAGTTCGAAGTACGACACTTCATCAATATCCATAGATATTTTCTCTGAAAAACCAACAACATATCGTAGTTCCAAACCCGAGAAGTCCATGACTCCACCATGATGGTATAAAATATCTAAATATTCAGTGATCTGCAATGCCAAAACAAGAAAACAAAGTTGTATTGTGACAATTTCCCCTAAACAAAGCTTTCTTGAAGTGTCAACTAACGGTCAAACGAACGGAAAGTTGACGATTTGGATATTAGATTGTTTTCGAAAAGGTTTGACTATTATATTGTTTAAAATAAAAGGTTTGGATATTAAATTGTATTTACTCTTTTGATGACTTTGTATCAAAACTCTAAAGGTACATGTTTAGTTTATGCCACACATAATTGTTTTTTATTAAACTAAAGCACTGATGCTATAAAGTATATAAAGTATTGCAAAATTTCTCATGACTTTATTGGATGTCTTAAAGTAGAATGTAAGTATGTAGTATAATTAAGATGCATTATGAAACTTATTCAAATAACTTGATTTATTGGGACCAATTGGTTTATCAAGTATAAGGTCACATGTGATCAAAAGGTCACATGTGCGAATCCTGGTGACCCAATTTTTTAAGCACATAGTATTTGGAAGCTGTGCAAATTTTAAACTCATATGAGTATTTCTCATTTCATTTCGGAGAGGACATGTTAGTATGTGGTATAAAATTCATTATTCAACTTCTTTCAATGTGAGTTATTGAGACAAATTATATCTGACCGTGTCATTAGCAAATCACTAAATACTTGATGCTCGTTTTATGCTAGCTGATTCACTTTCCTGTGTCTGCTTACTGATAATTTACTTGCACGGAAACTTCCTATATTATCGACACCAGCCACGATTTTTCCATAAATAAGAACTAGAGTGGCTGAAACGTTATGAATGAAGTGGTACCAATTTTCATGTGGTTTGTCTGAACATGGTTGGAAGGATAGAGATGATGGTGGTGGATGAGCAAAGGCCCCAGAATTTGTGGTGGCTGGGTGGCTAGTGGTGGTGGGAGTAAACACGATGTTCTTGGCTGTACAAAAAGGAAAGGGAACAGACAAAATTAGAGCCATAATCGTCGATTCGTCTTCTTGTATGTAACTATTTGGAGTTTAGTGTGCGTAGGCCCGTAATCAGTCTCTCCATGTCTCATCATCTTCTGCAGCAGTGTTCTTCAGTCAGTCATTCATTCATGCATTCACACCTCTATTTCCAATCAAATTATCAATTTCCATCATACGAAAATAAATCAATGCGACAAATATACTTAGAGCTTAATAATTCCATTCCAGCACATGTACGTTTACAGGTTCCTGGACAAGGCAGCAATAGTAACCGAGCAAGACGCCAAGGACTCCCCAAACCTATGGCGGCTCAACACGGTCCACCGAGTCGAGGAGCTGAAATCCCTCATCCGAATGGGCCCGATTTGGGCCGCGGGAATCATCCTCATCACGGCCTACGCCCAGCAGAACACGTTCTCCCTCCAGCAGGCCAAGTCCATGGACCGCCACCTCTCGGCCACGTTCCAGATCCCGGCCGGGTCCATGTCGGTGTTCACCATGACCTCCATGCTCACCACCATCGTCGTCTACGACCGGGCCTTCGTCCCCTTGGCCCGCCGCCTCACCGGCCTGGACCGCGGCATCACGTTCCTCCACCGCATGGCCATTGGGTTCGTCATCTCCATCCTCGCCACGCTGGTCGCCGGGTTCGTGGAGGTCAAGCGCAAGGAGTCGGCGCCGGCGCACGGCGGCGGTGGACAACAAACGGTTGCGCTGTCGGTGTTCTGGCTGGCGCCGCAGTACTGCCTCCACGGGGTGGCGGAGGCGTTCATGTCGATCGGGCATCTCGAGTTTTTCTACGACCAGGTGTGCTAACATTAGTTTTGAATATGAAAGTCTCATATTCAAATTTTCAAATTATATCTAACTATTAAAATAAAATTATATCACTCTTTAAAAAACTGACTATAATTTAGTAAAAATGTATAAAATTCCTAATTGAAGAATAACTCGAGTTGAAAAATGTTCAATAATATGGATTGTATACTACACACTATCATACACTCTTCAGATATTTAGACATGTCGTGAACACGAGAATATAATGTGTTTTACAAATGAGGGATCACGGGGAGATTTAATTACAAGACCTCTCGCCGGTCACAGAAAGCACTGATATCATCATGTCAAGAACCAGCCGATCCCATTAATTTTGAGTTGTTAGGATTAGCTGTAACTTGACTGGTACCAGAGCCTTCTATCACGTAGCTAGCGTCTTGTGCTCGAATTCTCACGTCCCCTATTTGGTATAATCACGTGATATTCGGACCTATACAAATTGAACAATTTTTTCGTTTAAGAAAGTTTACTAACTAATAAATGGTGTAAATCGATAAACTGAACATCTTCCAAGTTATTGGAATCTAACTAGCTCACACTTTATTCTTAACAGGCGCCGGAGAGCATGAGGAGCACGGCGATGGCGCTGTTCTGGACGGCGATATCGGTGGGGAACTACATGAGCACACTTTTGGTGACGCTGGTGCACAAGTTCAGCGCCGGGCCCGGCGGGTCGAACTGGCTGCCGGACGACGACCTGAACAAGGGGAAGCTGGAGTATTTCTACTGGCTCATTACAGTGTTGCAAGTGGTTAACTTCGTGTACTACTTGTTCTGTGCGAGAATGTACACTTACAAGCCGATTCACGTGGAGAAGAAATTAGAGGGTGGTGTTGATGGAGAGGGGCTTGATAATGGAGAATTAGGTGGAATAGAGCTCGCCACTAATAAGGTTTAGAGTTTGTTTTAAGGCGAGGAAAGGGACATGGCTGATTGCTCTAGCTAGTTTGGTTCAGATAGTGGTGGACTTGTGTTGTAAAAAGAGTAGCTTTCCTACTGAATAGCATAAAAGAGTAGTTTTTCTTCCTTCTCTGCCTGGCTGGCGGCTGCCTCACTCTTTTGAAAAAATAAAAAATAAAAAGTCCCATTTACGGGGAGGAGTGGAGGTGATAGCATAAATTTTGCGTGTTTATCGTCTAAGTTGACAGATAATCAATTGACCGAGTCGAATTGAAGTTGTTATTTAAAAAAAAAAAACAATCATTCTAATAATTTCATGAAATTATGATCATAAATATAAAGTTCATACTCAAATAACAAATTGATTGGTATTTTTCATACCCCTGCGCAGCGCTACTAAGTTGTTTCCTTGTTGGTACGTAGAAGTAGGCCAATACTACGGTGTCGCTGTTTGTGATTGGTCCACGCGGACGTGACGTGGCACTGGTTAAGTTTACTAAATCCCAACCCAAAGCACCCAATGCAGGTGCCCACTTCCTAACAGGTCTTGAAGTTCGATCAGTCGCCTGTGCTCCCTTGAAAACTATGAATTCATTGTATCCCTCTCTCAAATATCGAGTCATCGGCATTAACCTTGTATGATGGAAGAAGAAGCAATGTGATCCCCTGCTGCATATTTAAATTTGCAGCATCTGTTGAGAAGCTTCATCCCTTCCTTGCTCATCTGTTGAACTTCTTGAGGCAATACAATCCTTAATTAATTCCCTATACATCAAAGGCATCCTATGAATTCCCTTTTACGAAACAAATAACTAAAACAATGAAAACCTCAGTTTCCATTTTCATGCAACGGAAAAGCTTAGGAAAGGGTAAAAAATTGCAGAGAAATTATCTGTTACTGCCAAGGATCATCGCCAATGAGCAGAACATCATTCTCACACTCCACGTAAACCAGCTTCCACCTCGACTTCCTTGGATTCTTCAACAGCCCACCAAGCCTGAATCTGCACTCGATCTTGGAGCAGAGCTCCTCATAGTTCTTGAAGCTCGAAACATAGATCGATCTCTCTGTAAACTCAAATGAAATGCAAACTGACAAGTTTTTATTGAAATGAGAAAAACAACTTAAATACCAAGTCTTGACTCACTAATCTCGGCCCTCTACTCTCACATTCCTGGAACTCAACAGCCTGCTTACTGAACATCCTGAAACTTAGCAAACCACTAACTAAACCCCCTAATTTGTTGTTGACCAAGTAAACTAATCTATCTTGACACGTAAGCAGCTCTAACACTTTAAACGACTAACCCCCAACAAACTAACACAATTATTCACATGATTAACTTATCTAACATAACCTCCCCTAAACTGAAGTGTGTTAGCCTTTAGTTTACACACATAACAACAACCTCGTAGCATGACCACACATTGCAGCAACATGGATTGCCACCTGAGCTTTCTCCTTAATCCGCCAACTGTAGCTTTATTCCTTCCATGTAGACTTTTTTTTTAATTTTTGTGCCTCCCCTCAAATTAACCTTTCATCCCATCTTCTTTATAACTCCATTGCGCAGAAAACATCCAACAAACACCTAATGTAACAGCTAAAAACTCTTCCTTGGTTGTAGAGAGAGCCAACACTACTTCTCCACCTAGAAAGAATTTCCAAGTACATCGCCTGACATATGACCACTTCCTCATAAGTCTGAATGACCTTAAGTCCCAGCAAAACTTCAAGTCCCAACCAGTACCATACTAATCTCCAAATCTGTCAGCAAGTACCTTATTCTCCCAAATTTGTCATCTCAGAGACTACCTTCATGGCAATGTTGAATTCTCCAATTATGATAACATTATTGCTTGTATAAATCACACTATCCAGATAGCAGCTTACAAGTAACCTATCTGTCCCCCACTTTGCGAAAACCAAGTTACTATGATATGCACATTTTGCAAATTCAGGCGGCAGAAAAATCTCTAGAAAGTATCACATTTCTTCCAAATGTGTCACTTGAAGTATAGATTGTTTATATGCCTTAAGCTCTTCAATCATGAACATAGTATTCATCATTCTAGTCCTAATCTTCATCAAGTAAGAGACAGCTGCAATGCTCGCTGAAAATCTGATAAAACCAGCTGCTAAACTAACCAAACTTGATGCGTTACCAACTGCAAAATCGACCCAATCAGCTACCATGAAGTAATTGATCAACCCCGCTGTAACATCAGTTGTAAAACTGAGCAAAGCTGCTGCAAAAATGCCACCTGATGTGAAATTAGCCACACCAATCACAACCAAGTAACTGGCCAAGCTGTCTGCAATTAGGCACTTAGTTCTTGAAGCCTTTCTTAACTCATACAAAGGCTTACTGAGCATATTCTTGTTTTCTTCCCTTGCTGTCAGAAAAACTTGTGATTGCTCCACACCTACAAAAAGCTTCCAAATCTTATTCTTGGAAATGAATTTTATCTTCAGGAGTTCCCTCCATCTCTCTTCTTGCATAATCTTGTCAAGGTACTATGAATCTCCAACTTCAACCATCACCTTTGATTCCACAATAAAATTGTTGCAATCATACCTATCCATCCAGTTTAACCTTCCCTTGTCATTTGGCCTTAGATCAATAGTTGGTAGACCTACAGGGTCAGTGTCCAAGTCCTCCTCGCCTTCCTTGCCACAGTAATTAGCAATGGCTGTAACAAGAGATCTAGCAGTAGTTGGTGGAGTTGCAAAAACAGGACTGGTTCTTATACCTCCTTCTGCAATTACAAGAGCTGCATTTGCTTGTTTTGATGCTTCAATCTCTTCATTTATTGGTTATGATACTTCAATATCTTCACCAGACTCATAGTGATTCCATGTTTCTAGTGTTGTGGTTGCTGCATCTGCCACTGATACATGATCAACAATACTTTCATCCACTTCAGAACCATCCATCTCAACTTCATCGATTTGCAGAAACAAGCAATTCATTTCAGTGGCTACTTGTGATACAGCTAACTCAAGATGAATCACAAACAGCTTGTTGAATTTCATCTTTGTTTGCAACAACAAACCTTTCTCATCATGAAAAATCTTGCAAACTCCACCCTTGATGAAGAAGGTCAAGCCTTTTTCTTACATCTGGCCTATGCTCAACAAATTGATCTTTAATGATACGCCCCTGGGAGTGTATTTTTATCAAAGTAACGCAGCAAACAATCAATCCAAAGATTGATTGAACTCGAATCAAGAACGAAGCGCTCTTAATACGAAATTGGGATAAAACGGAACCAACGGACAATTCCACACCTGGGGAATGCTCGTATGGTATAAAAGGGTAGCTGCTCGACCACGATTGAAGAGAATATTCAATCGATACAAAGCTCACAAGCTTGGAATCCACCAAACTCAAACAAGTCGCAACTTGCACAAAACCAAACGGTTCTCAATTTCGATTAATCAAAGTCTGACGATTACAATGCAAAAGACGAGTTTAAATAGGCCTAACTAGGATTAACTTTCAAACTCAAACAAGTCGCAACTTGCACAAAACCAAACGGTTCTCAATTTCGATTAATCAAAGTCTGACGATTACAATGCAAAAGACGAGTTTAAATAGGCCTAACTAGGATTAACTTTCGTACAAGCAACTCATAATTACAATCTAATGCGAATAAGAACTAAAAAGTAGCAAAAAGGACCTAATCCTAATCGAATAAGGAAAACAATTCTGTTTTTACAAAGGCAGAATTTTGTGACTTCGTACTAACTTCGCACCTTTCGTCGAGGCCTTCCCAAACTCCAATTCTTCATCCAACTCCTTCCCTTTGTTCACAAACATACCTAGTTTCATGTTGTGGAAGCCTTTGGACTTGAATAAGATCCATACTCCTCGAATTAAGCTCCAAAGTAGGCTTCACAAAACAGTTTCCAGACTGAACCATTTTCTGGCAGTTTTCCAGTTTTGAGGTAGCAACTTTGAGGCCTTGGAAAACAACCTTAATGACATCATCTGGATCAAAAAAGCATACCATTGGAAACATGACAACTTTATCTGCAAAACAAACCCTTAACATTGAATTTCCACAAAGCCAATTGTGAGAATTATGCCTCCAAAGTATGTACCCTGAACACAGATTTTGACTTAGCCAAATTCTGCCCTTCTTCTTTCCAACCTTGATAGCTTCTTTGACAAGTAATTGTGACTTGTAGAAGTGGCCAATTTGGATCATATCAGGCTCTCCCTCTTCAAAAAGCTTTGCCCTCAAAGCTTGATCTTTCCTCTTGTCAAAAACTTCAGATAATTGATCCCAAATTGGATCGAAAGATGGCCTCTCCAACTTGCAATTCTGGAAAGTTAGGTCTGTGTTCTTCATTGAGAAAATTGGGGATTTTCGATTTAGGCCTCGCCAATCTAATTCAATGCTTCCAAGAGCTTCGTCATATGACCAATAGACTTTCTAAACCGGTCCTTTGTCTCGACTCGTCACCATTCGCGCCGACCCAGCTCCCCATCCTTTCCCGCCGTCGTCCGTTTTCAAATGCCCAAAACCCAGAATTGTTGATTGTGATTTGGGCGTTTCTACCTCAGGCATCTCCAACTCGATTCGTTCGTCCCAATAGCTTCTGGGCATAGTCTTGATTGATTCCTCGTTGGTCGTTGGCGTCGATTCACACTCGATCGCTATATGCCCAAAGGAGTTTTGGCAGCTGTTCACCGTTGTGAACAGAAGGGATTTTGCGCGAATTGAATCTTCAATATCATGTTTGTTTCTCTCCAATGAATCTACCAAAGACGTTCTGGGGGTCGAGGGGAAGGTATAGGCTTCGTTGGTTGGGCTCGACCAATCCCCCATAGCTCCCACTAATTCGTTCTCTCTCATGCTCTGCTTCGCGGAAACATGGCAGAGTTCCGGAGAGCTTGTCGATGGAGGCGTTCGATCAACTTCAGCTTGATCTGGAGCTTCCTCTTGACTATTTGTCGTTCTCTCAACCTCGTGGAAGACTTTTGTGGCGATCTCCGGTCTCCACACTCCCTCTTCTTCATCGTCAAGGTAGCATAGCGCGGAGCTCCGTTTCGCGGAAACAGAACAGGGAACGTTCTGGGCAGTGGGTTGAGTTAAAAAATCTTCCTTTTGAAGCTTCCTGAAGCTCATGAAACTGAAGCCCACTCGTCTCTGATACCACTTGATACGCCCCTGGGGGTGTATTTTTATCAAAGTAACGCAGCAAACAATCAATCCAAAGATTGATTGAACTAGAATCAAGAACAAAGCGCTCTTAATACGAAATTGGGATAAAACGGAACCAACGGACAATTCCACACCTGGGGAATGCTCGTATGGTATAAAAGGGTAGCTGCTCGACCACGATTGAAGAGAATATTCAATCGATACAAAGCTCACAAGCTTGGAATCCACCAAACTCAAACAAGTCGCAACTTGCACAAAACCAAACGGTTCTCAATTTCGATTAATCAAAGTCTGACGATTACAATGCAAAAGACGAGTTTAAATAGGCCTAACTAGGGTTAACTTTCGTACAAGCAACTCATAATTACAATCTAATACGAATAAGAACTAAAAAGTAGCAAAAAGGACCTAATCCTAATCGAATAAGGAAAACAATTCTGTTTTTACAAAGGCAGAATTTTGTGACTTCGTACTAACTTCGCACCTTTCGTTTGAGGCCTTCCCAAACTCCAATTCTTCATCCAATTCCTTCCCTTTGTTCACAAACATACCTAGTTTCATGTTGTGGAAGCCTTTGGACTTGAATATGATCCATACTCCTCGAATTAAGCTCCAAAGTAGGCTTCACAAAACAGTTTCCAGACTGAACCATTTTCTGGCAGTTTTCCAGTTTTGAGGTAGCAACTTTGAGGCCTTGGAAAACAACCTTAATGACATCATCTGGATCAAAAAAGCATACCATTGGAAACATGACAACTTTATCTGCAAAAAAAACCCTTAAAATTGAATTTTCACAAAGCCAATTGTGAGAATTATGCCTCCAAAGTATGTACCCTGAACACAGATTTTGACTTAGCCAAATTCTGCCCTTCTTCTTTCCAACCTTGATAGCTTCTTTGACAAGTAATTGTGACTTGTAGAAGTGGCCAATTTGGATCATATCAGGCTCTCCCTCTTCAAAAAGCTTTGCCCTCAAAGCTTGATCTTTCCTCTTGTCAAAAACTTCAGATAATTGATCCCAAATTGGATCGAAAGATGGCCTCTCCAACTTGCAATTCTGGAAATTTAGGTCTGTGTTCTTCATTGAGAAAATTGGGGATTTTCGATTTAGGCCTCGCCAATCTAATTCAATGCTTCCAAGAGCTTCGTCATATGACCAATAGACTTTCTAAACCGGTCCTTTGTCTCGACTCGTCACCATTCGCGCCGACCCAGCTCCCCATCCTTTCCCGCCGTCGTCCGTTTTCAAATGCCCAAAACCCAGAATTGTTGATTGTGATTTGGGCGTTTCTACCTCAGGCATCTCCAACTCGATTCGTTCGTCCCAATAGCTTCTGGGCATAGTCTTGATTGATTCCTCGTTGGTCGTTGGCGTCGATTCACACTCGATCGCTATATGCCCAAAGGAGTTTTGGCAGCTGTTCACCGTTGTGAACAGAAGGGATTTTGCGCGAATTGAATCTTCAATATCAGGTTTGTTTCTCTCCAATGAATCTACCAAAGACGTTCTGGGGGTCGAGGGGAAGGTATAGGCTTCGTTGGTTGGGCTCGACCAATCCCCCATAGCTCCCACTAATTCGTTCTTTCTCATGCTCTGCTTCGCGGAAACATGGCAGAGTTCCGGAGAGCTTGTCGATGGAGGCGTTCGATCAACTTCAGCCTGATCTGGAGCTTCCTCTTGACTATTTGTCGTTCTCTCAACCTCGTGGAAGACTTTTGTGGCGATCTCCGGTCTCCACACTCCCTCTTCTTCATCGTCAAGGTAGCATAGCGCGGAGCTCCGTTTCGCGGAAACAGAACAGGGAACGTTCTGGGCAGTGGGTTGAGTTAAAAAATCTTCCTTTTGAAGCTTCCTGAAGCTCATGAAACTGAAGCCCACTCGTCTCTGATACCACTTGATACGCCCCTGGGGGTGTATTTTTATCAAAGTAACGCAGCAAACAATCAATCCAAAGATTGATTGAACTAGAATCAAGAACAAAGCGCTCTTAATACGAAATTGGGATAAAACGGAACCAACGGACAATTCCACACCTGGGGAATGCTCGTATGGTATAAAAGGGTAGCTGCTCGACCACGATTGAAGAGAATATTCAATCGATACAAAGCTCACAAGCTTGGAATCCACCAAACTCAAACAAGTCGCAACTTGCACAAAACCAAACGGTTCTCAATTTCGATTAATCAAAGTCTGACGATTACAATGCAAAAGACGAGTTTAAATAGGCCTAACTAGGGTTAACTTTCGTACAAGCAACTCATAATTACAATCTAATACGAATAAGAACTAAAAAGTAGCAAAAAGGACCTAATCCTAATCGAATAAGGAAAACAATTCTGTTTTTACAAAGGCAGAATTTTGTGACTTCGTACTAACTTCGCACCTTTCGTTTGAGGCCTTCCCAAACTCCAATTCTTCATCCAATTCCTTCCCTTTGTTCACAAACATACCTAGTTTCATGTTGTGGAAGCCTTTGGACTTGAATATGATCCATACTCCTCGAATTAAGCTCCAAAGTAGGCTTCACAAAACAGTTTCCAGACTGAACCATTTTCTGGCAGTTTTCCAGTTTTGAGGTAGCAACTTTGAGGCCTTGGAAAACAACCTTAATGACATCATCTGGATCAAAAAAGCATACCATTGGAAACATGACAACTTTATCTGCAAAAAAAACCCTTAAAATTGAATTTCCACAAAGCCAATTGTGAGAATTATGCCTCCAAAGTATGTACCCTGAACACAGATTTTGACTTAGCCAAATTCTGCCCTTCTTCTTTCCAACCTTGATAGCTTCTTTGACAAGTAATTGTGACTTGTAGAAGTGGCCAATTTGGATCATATCAGGCTCTCCCTCTTCAAAAAGCTTTGCCCTCAAAGCTTGATCTTTCCTCTTGTCAAAAACTTCAGATAATTGATCCCAAATTGGATCGAAAGATGGCCTCTCCAACTTGCAATTCTGGAAATTTAGGTCTGTGTTCTTCATTGAGAAAATTGGGGATTTTCGATTTAGGCCTCGCCAATCTAATTCAATGCTTCCAAGAGCTTCGTCATATGACCAATAGACTTTCTAAACCGGTCCTTTGTCTCGACTCGTCACCATTCGCGCCGACCCAGCTCCCCATCCTTTCCCGCCGTCGTCCGTTTTCAAATGCCCAAAACCCAGAATTGTTGATTGTGATTTGGGCGTTTCTACCTCAGGCATCTCCAACTCGATTCGTTCGTCCCAATAGCTTCTGGGCATAGTCTTGATTGATTCCTCGTTGGTCGTTGGCGTCGATTCACACTCGATCGCTATATGCCCAAAGGAGTTTTGGCAGCTGTTCACCGTTGTGAACAGAAGGGATTTTGCGCGAATTGAATCTTCAATATCAGGTTTGTTTCTCTCCAATGAATCTACCAAAGACGTTCTGGGGGTCGAGGGGAAGGTATAGGCTTCGTTGGTTGGGCTCGACCAATCCCCCATAGCTCCCACTAATTCGTTCTTTCTCATGCTCTGCTTCGCGGAAACATGGCAGAGTTCCGGAGAGCTTGTCGATGGAGGCGTTCGATCAACTTCAGCCTGATCTGGAGCTTCCTCTTGACTATTTGTCGTTCTCTCAACCTCGTGGAAGACTTTTGTGGCGATCTCCGGTCTCCACACTCCCTCTTCTTCATCGTCAAGGTAGCATAGCGTGGAGCTCCGTTTCGCGGAAACAGAACAGGGAACGTTCTGGGCAGTGGGTTGAGTTAAAAAATCTTCCTTTTGAAGCTTCCTGAAGCTCATGAAACTGAAGCCCACTCGTCTCTGATACCACTTGATACGCCCCTGGGGGTGTATTTTTATCAAAGTAACGCAGCAAACAATCAATCCAAAGATTGATTGAACTAGAATCAAGAACAAAGCGCTCTTAATACGAAATTGGGATAAAACGGAACCAACGGACAATTCCACACCTGGGGAATGCTCGTATGGTATAAAAGGGTAGCTGCTCGACCACGATTGAAGAGAATATTCAATCGATACAAAGCTCACAAGCTTGGAATCCACCAAACTCAAACAAGTCGCAACTTGCACAAAACCAAACGGTTCTCAATTTCGATTAATCAAAGTCTGACGATTACAATGCAAAAGACGAGTTTAAATAGGCCTAACTAGGGTTAACTTTCGTACAAGCAACTCATAATTACAATCTAATACGAATAAGAACTAAAAAGTAGCAAAAAGGACCTAATCCTAATCGAATAAGGAAAACAATTCTGTTTTTACAAAGGCAGAATTTTGTGACTTCGTACTAACTTCGCACCTTTCGTTTGAGGCCTTCCCAAACTCCAATTCTTCATCCAATTCCTTCCCTTTGTTCACAAACATACCTAGTTTCATGTTGTGGAAGCCTTTGGACTTGAATATGATCCATACTCCTCGAATTAAGCTCCAAAGTAGGCTTCACAAAACAGTTTCCAAACAACCATTTTCTGGCAGTTTTCCAGTTTTGAGGTAGCAACTTTGAGGCCTTGGAAAACAACCTTAATGACATCATCTGGATCAAAAAAGCATACCATTGGAAACATGACAACTTTATCTGCAAAACAAACCCTTAACATTGAATTTCCACAAAGCCAATTGTGAGAATTATGCCTCCAAAGTATGTACCCTGAACACATATTTTGACTTAGCCAAATTCTGCCCTTCTTCTTTCCAACCTTGATAGCTTCTTTGACAAGTAATTGTGACTTGTAGAAGTGGCCAATTTGGATCATATCATTTAAACCGGGGACATAAAACACATCCTTAATAACAAGATTTCTCCCTTCTACCTTCATCTTTACTATTCCCTTTCCTTGCACCTGAATGTTAGTACCATTGCCTAACTTAACAATGCAGCTAAAGCAATCATCAAAAGAATCAAATAAGTGTTTGTTACCACTCATATGGTTGATGCATCCGGAGTCCAAGAACCACCAATCTTCTCTCTGATGATCACCAAAACAATCAAATAAGTGTTGTTGAGACTCCTTTTTACTTTGATTTTCAGCAAATGGTCATCAACAACATGTCTTCCTTCATATCATTTTGGATAGGTGCACAATCATTTGAGAAAGGAGCTTGACGACCCCATTCAGGACACACTTCTAAAATGATCAATTATGTGACACTTGAACCATTCCACTGACTCTTCACTCCAAAATCTTCCACGATCCCTTCTACTGTCTCGGTATCCAACTCGACCTCTTTCACTATCACCAGCCACTTTCAAAGCACGTTCTTCTTCAACCCTTCCCTTGCTAAACTTATGCTCGTGAACCAACAACGAGCTCTGAAGAGCATCAACAGATAAAAATCTCTATGTCTTTGGATTCCTCAATAGAGCAAACCACATAGTTGAATTTTGGTGTTAAAGTTCTCATAATCTTTTCGACAAGTTTAAAATCAGGCATTTCCTCTCCATAATTCCTCGTAGTATTAGCTAAAACCATCACACTACCAAAATAATCATTCACAGACTCACCTTCCTTCATCTCCAAGACCTCAAAGTTCCTTCTGAGAGCTTGTAGTTGTACCTTATGAACCCTAGAACTCCCTTGAAATTTGACCTTCATGGATTCCCATAGCTCTTTGGCAATACTCTTCTTTGTAATTGTCTTCAAAATGGCCTTATCGATAGAGCGGAAGATATAATTTTTCGCCTTAAGATCTTTCGAACTCTTTGACTCTGCAACAGAGAGCTCAACACCTTCAGCAGGCTATTCAAACCCCACATTCACTACAACCCAATACTCCATCGATTGAAGGAGATTTTCCATCAGCAAACTCCAGCGATCATAATCCCCATCAAACTTGGGGATGCAAACTTGCAAAAAACTGCTATTTTCACTCATGTTTGTCGTCTTGGCAGCAACTAATTACTCTAACCTCACTGGATTTCCCTCGCCCCTTTGAAGATATTTTCTGCACCAGATACTCTCCTGTTTTTGAAACTCAATTTTGCAATTCACCAGCAAAATTATCATCCAAAAACACTCACACTCAAAAGTTCACACACCAACTACTTGAAAGCATATTGCACACACCCTTGGATTGATATCCTCACAAATACTCACACAACAATTGCTTGACAACAGATTTCACTCACCAGTCTGCAACTCACGACAGAACTTCTCTCAATCAATCACTCTTAATTTGCTTGAAAGCCTTTGGTTACAGCTTGCTTGAGCTCTGATACCACAATCCCTATGTTTGGCCCGGCTTTTAGAAGTTCTTTTCGGGTTCAAAAGCTGAAGCAGGGCCAAACACTTGTAAAAGCTCGGCTTTTGAAAAGCCGAAAGCGCTTTGTATAACATAAAAGCAGAAGCTCCGATTAGGAGCTTCTGCGAAAAGCTGTTTTGAAAATACAAGATTATCCTTACCATATTTTTATTTTATTTCAGAAAATATAATTTTCCTTCATTTATATCATTTTAAAAATAAAATAAATTATAAAATCATATTATTTAATATAAAAGAAATCTAACAAGATCCATTTTGACTACTTTTTATTGTTTAGAATTTTTATTCATATTTTATATTATAAGTTCTTTATAGTCATTTTACATAACCTCTTATGTTAAAAAGCACTTCTAATAATTTTACAGCCAAACACTCAACTGTTTTTTTTTAAGTACTTATCTAAAAACTCCAGCCAGAAGCTTCTTCTGCAAAAGTTACAGCAGTGCCAAACTAAGCTAATGTAAAGTCAAATGAAATGCAAACTGACAAGTTTTATTGAAATGAGAAAAACAACTTAAATACAAAGTCTGACTCAAAACCCCTCACCAATCTCGGCCCTCTACTCTCACATTCCTGGAACTCAGCAGCCTACTAACGGAACATCCTGAAACTTAGCAAACCACTAACTAAACCCCCTAATTTGCTGTTGACCAAGTAAACTAATCTATCTTGACACATAAGCAGCTCTAACACTTTAAACGACTAACTCCCAACAAACTAACACAATTATTCACATGATTAACTTATCTAACACTCTCAACTGACCCTGCCTTCTCAACCTGTCTTTTTAATCATTACAGAATCACATATTAGCATTAAGAGGGGCTGTCGGAGATGGGATCGACGAAGGACAAGTAGTCGGGAGTGATTTTCGAGAGACCGCCGGAGAGGGAGTTTGATGAAGTTCTCTTTTGTTCGTTTGATCAATCTCTGATTTTTGTTCTCTCCCAATCACCCTGTTTTGCTTTCTTATTCTTCCCGAAACACGTAACTAATATCATTTAGATGAATTTAATTTAATAATATAAAAGTTAAAATAGAATAACGGGGAATGGTTCTCCGTTACTTTTGAGAGACACAGTTTGGGTCACTCCTGTTAAAGTGCGTCACCGGTGTCGCACTTTTAACCGCGGCACCGTAGTATTGACCGTAGAAGTATGGATACGCCTCTGAAAAATTAAGCAAGGCTGGGCCATGGGGCACTACTTAACTCAAAGGAAAAAGAGTCCACTGTAAGGTTCCCTAAATTCCAAATTTTAATCGTATTCAGGTCTAGGCACGTTTCGTTGAAGTGCATCCCAGTACCAGTTGCTATATAGGATGTGAAAGGCCCAAAGAAAAAGCCTGGCCCGTTATCGCCCTATCAAGCCCACCACCAGTTGCAACCCACGACCCACCTGTAGTCTGTAGATCCTTCACCCAACCCATCACATTCACAGGCGAATTAGAATGGTGGCAGGAAAAAAAAAATGTAAGATACTAACTCAACTTGAATCTATACCTTTTCATATATATAAATCTTTATAATATATACTAAATTTGTATATTTAACGTTAAGATACAACAACGAAAAGACATCAATCTTTCCGAGCATAGTAATTGGGCTCAATTTTATATTGTTCAAGTGAAAAGGGAAGAGAGGTTTCAATACCAACATTGATAATCCTAGAACGGGATGTCTTTCACCATCTCACGTAGTGGTAAGCAATTGGCCATCACACGATTAACTAAAAATAGGGACCTGCCTTCTCTAACACGTTCGTTTCCTCTGCCTCTGCCCCCAAAAATTTCAACGGAAAAAATAAAATCCCATCCCCAGTCACAGGGGAAAACTCCCAATTTCCCTCCCAAAAGCCAACACCCACCAGAAAACACAAACAAACAATAAGCAGCTCCCTCCCTCTTTCTCGCGTCAACAAACAGAAAATCCCAGGAAAAACAAACAATCTCACACACGCAAATCCTCCTCTCTCACATTTTCCCCTCCTCTGGTCTGGATGAATGAGTCTGTTGGACAGGTTCAGATCCCAGGCCCCATCCACTCCGACGCAGGCCACCATGATGAAGAGCCTCCACGACTCTGACCACTTTCAGGCTGCAACGGCGGAAACCCCCAGATCGCAGCAGACGGCCTTGTCGCAGGTGGCCGACGCGTTCGAGGAGCTGGCCGATCACCTGGCAAAATCCAGCCGGAGAAACAACGACGCTGGATCGCCACAACAACAAGAGGAAGACGGAGAAGAAGAAGAAGAAGAAGAAGAAGAAGAAGGAGAGCCGGAGCTTCGATTGGATTCCTTCTGTCAGGCATGCTCTTTGGTCTCCGTCCTCTTCAGCTGCCTCGGTCTCGCTTTTAAATTCGCCGAGACAGAGTACGTCGCCAAGGTCCACATTCTCGTCTCTCTCTCTCTCTTCTCTTCTCCAATTTCTTCACCCCGGCGGCGGCGATCCATTTCAAAGTGCGGTTTATCGCGCTGCCTAGATCTCATTCTTCGTCTTCTTCGGTCTCAGGTGCGTGATCTGGTTGAAGCGTCCAAGACGTTCGAGAATCTGCAGAATGTGGTGGATGTGGATGCAGCCAACGGGACGGTGAGAACTGCAGGCAGCCATACCAGGAACCTGCGCCGGGTTCGTCAAGGTCTCGACCTGATCAGGGGAATCTTCCAACAATTCGTCGCCTCCGAGTAAGCTGCTGTGCTCTTCCTTCGATTCATCATCCATTTCTTATTTCCTTTCTCCTGTGTGCCTGATTCATGCATGGCTTTGCAGCGATAATTCGTTGAAGGATGCTGCGACCACAGCTTACGCGCAAATCTGCGCTCCTTACCACACCTGGGCGATACGGACGGCGGTTTACGCCGGAATGTACACGCTCCCCACGCGGGAGCAGCTTCTGGTGAGGCTGGAAGAAAGTGGTAAGTGACACAAAACTGCAACTCTCCCTGCCTTCCATGGCAATCGTTCATTTTTCTTTTCTTTTTTTTCCTTGTGCTTGCTGTTTCCTGAGCCGCTTTCGATCCCGTTTACAGAGCAGTCAGCGGAGAAGAAGATGAAGAGGTACATCCAGGCTTCGCTTCCAGTGATCCAGTACATCGACAGGCTTTACACTTCCAGGAATATCACCTTGGATTGGTAAGCTCCACCAATTCTTGTGAATTTTGAATGGCTGCAGCCTAGCTCTCTCCCCTGTTGCTTCAGAAACAGAGCAACTCAATCCCCTGCCGCCGGCCAGCATTTCGGCCAGTTTGTTGTATTTTACTACCTGTAACTGGTTGCAACTTGCAAACCACATTCTTCACCATATTAGACTCTTAGGATTCATTTTGTAAACAAAACCCCCTCGATTCCTTTTGTAGACAACACCAATATTATATGTAACTTGTGTGTACATACAAACAGTTGTCTGCAGAAAAAAGCAAGTTTTGCAAGATCATCCCAAGAAAACTCAGAGAAATGAGTTTTGAATAGGCTGTCTATGGAACTCGCAAGAGCACTTTTATTCTTATCTTTAACACAACTAGCCGAGAGCATAAGTAAACTCTGTGATGAGGGAACGACACCCTTTTCAGCTCAGAAGCAAAATGAATGATTATATTACAATTAGTGAAAACTGGGGAATGAAAAGAAGAAGAAAAGAAAGAAGCAGGTTTCCTCAGGCTTACGGAAATCGAATTGAATACACTCTATCTTGCCCGGTGATTGAATTGATCCAACCTATCCCCTCGTAGCAGCTACGGCTTTCCTACATAGTGAGGCTTTCAGGATTCTCAATGATCTTTGAGAATGTCTGGAGGAAGGCAGCCAAGTCAGCACCGTACACAATCCGATGATCAGCTGTTACATTCACCTGCAACACAAACAGATGCATCGGTTTCAATTGAAATACCGGTAAAACCATGGAAGATGCAAGAAAAAGAAACGTGAAAGAACAGAGAATGGACATGGAAAGAGGATGCGCCAGGCACATATTCATTTGTTGTAATCTTAGTCAAGAAGAAGGCATTAGAATCTTCCTAGCAATATATATATAAAATAACTGGCTGGTAACCTTGCCATACTTTGTAAGACAAACCAAAATCATAGAGCTTCTATATCAGTATCACCATCCTACCAACGAGCTTAGCAGTATTGTCCGCAAGGGGAAGTGATATTCTATTGGCACAGGTACCTATAACAGTCTTATTGGGAGGTCGGAACAAAAGATGTTTACTGTGAGCTCCTAATGTAGTTAGTCATTACATAAACTGAAACTAACCAACTCAGGCATTAGAGTCAAAAAGTGAATTGGGTGATCAAGTAAACAAGCAAACCAAGCATGTGTAATTTGAAGGTTCATATCTAATGCCAAGCACAGGGCGAACTGAGACCTAACAACTCATAATGGTGTGTTTTTTTGGCAAAACTAGGGCTTAAGTGCAACCCTAACAGAGTGAAAGCGTATCCTAACAATATCCATAAAATGCAAGGCAGCCCCAACTTTTTGACAGCAATATCATGCACTAGCAGCTAGCGCGTTGCATAATTTTCTACGCCGTGATTTTCCTGACAACTCCACGACACAAGCACTCGCCAAGTCATGCAATAGTAATAGAAACCTAATGACTTTTAAATAGAAATAAAAAAACATCAGCAGAAATTAAAATTTATCAGAACTTTGATAAGGTGCTAGTTCCGTTGGCCAGCTACATAGTAAATAATCGCATAACAAGTCAAAATGAGTTCAAGTGAGGTTTGTCTTCTCTGTTACATTGTCAAAGCGGCAACTATGCCAGACAACAGAAAGTTCGGTTTCGGTGGATCATGTGGGCGGTCAATATTGTTAAACGTCTGACTCAATGAAATGCTGAATACTCCGGATCACAGATGTGGTTGCATTTCATCAATTTCAATGTGGCCGAACTGAGCAGTATGTTCTAATAGCATGCACAATTCTCACCAACGATCTTGAAGTGTAAAAGCATAGAAATCAACGTTAAGCAGTAAGTTATAATCATGGCTGTTTGATTATCAAACTCACCAGCATTTTGTTTTTCACACTGAAGAACCCATCCTTATCAGCGACTACAGTAGGCTTTGAGGCTCCAACAGCCATGATAGCACCCTGTAAGGACCATTTAAAGCAAATTCAGATTGGTTATAGAACCTCAAAAACCCTACTTGAGTCAATGAAAACAATGAGGACTAGTACTCACTTGGCCAGGGGGAAGAATAGCATCAAATCTATCCACTCCAAACATTCCCAAATTGGATAGAGTAAAAGTTCCTGTACAAGGATAATTACAAAACCATTTGGATCATCCAACTACATCCTAGAATGTGAACCGAATTTGAAACACGTTAGAATGATAAGCAGAAAAAAACCTGAATTGTACTCATTGGGCTGAAGTTGCTTGGCTCTGGCCTTCTCCACTAGCTCTTTCCATTTTTGGGACAATAGATAAAGGTCCAGCTGTTACAACAGAACAATTCACCAACTTCATCATATTCAGGTTCTCGTCACCCAGCACACTAGTTAATCCCTACTATAGGAAGGGGGGAAGAACAAACCTTATCAGCATCCTGAAGGACGGGAGTTATCAACCCACCATTGATTGCCACTGCAACAGCAATGTTAATGTTACCGTTGTAAGTAAAACTCTTTCCGTCTTTGCAGCTGGCATTAACAACTGGGTGCTGAGCAAGTGCCATCGCGGCAGCCTTTGCCAACAATGCAGTCATTGTCACACCCTTCGGTTTCACCTAGCGACACAAAGAATATCATTCACCCTCGAGCAGAAACAAAATAAGAATCACATTTTCAACATAAGAAAACATTGATCATGAAATGAAATGCATCCACAAGAAGTACCTTCTCATAGAGGGCATCAAGAGCATCCGTCATGATCGGATACCCGACTCGGAAACTGGGCACGGAAAGACTCTCCAGCATGTTCTTGGAAACCGCGGCTTGCATAGTTGTAAAGGGTACAACTGTAGACCCTGGCAATGCAGGGGTTGAAGGAGCAGATGCAGCTTTAGGAGTAGCAGCAGCAGCAATTGGAGCAGACTGCGCAGCCACGGCAGGGGCGGCTACATTTGGCTTAGTAGAGACAATCCCGGCGGCAGCTTCGATGTCTCCAGGCGTTACCCTACCGAATGGCCCAGTCCCAGCAACCTTGCTAATATCCACCTTGTGCTGCTTAGCCAATTTCTTAGCAAAAGGCGTCGCCACCGTCTTCCTCGGCCCGTCTGCGGGGCGCGGCGGCGGAGGAGCCGAAGCAGCAGGAGGACTCGGGGAAACATCTGGGGCAGCTGCAGCGGGAGCAGGAGCAGAGCTACCGGCGCTAGCAGCTTTGGCTTTAGCTTCAGCGATTTCATCTTCAGTCTCGGCTAAGAGCCCGATCGGGGCGCCGACGGGAGCGGATTCGCCTTCGGGAACGACAATTGCGGCGAGGATGCCGTCGTAAAACGTCTCGACATCCATATCGGCCTTATCGGACTCGACGACGACGACGCTCTCGCCCTTGGAGAGAAGGTCGCCTTCGGATTTAATCCAGGACACGATCTTGCCCTCGGTCATGGTGGAGCTGAGCGCCGGCATGAAGATCTCCCGAATCTTGGACTGAACCCTAAGCGCATTGCCGGTTCTCCGGTGGCGGCGGAGGTGGGACTGCGAATGGAAGAGGGGGAGGGCGGGCGAGAGGGAGGCGGAGAAGGAGATGGTGGTGTTGGAGGGCGTCGGCATCTTGGTGAGAAGTGAAGAGGAAGCGGACGCCATTGTTGAAAGCTAGACTAGGGAGAAATTGGTTGGAGGGGGGAACAAAGGAATGGCGTCAATTGGAGTGGGAGCAGTGGAGAAGAAGAGAGGAGAAAGGAAGGGGGCGGAGAAGACGAGGGTGAAGTGGTGGGAAAGTTTGGAGCGACACCACCAACGCACTCGCTATGATTTCATCGAATGCCTGCCAGTTCGTGGGCTCAACTTCTGCATCTGCTTACTCGTCCAGTTTTTTTTTTTTTTTGCCAAAAGATCACTCGTATTACCGAGAAAGCCAGATATAACAAGTCACATAGCTGAAAACAGCCAAGAAACAAAATCGAACCCTCCTAAGTGAGGGAACAACGAAAGGGCTTTTCTTGCCACCAAATGGGCAACCCTGTTACAATCCCTACCAACAAACCGAATATCAAACACCGAAAACGAGCCCGTCAAGCATCGAATTTCTTCCAAAACCGTGCCACCCTGAACATCATCAACCTGACCTTCTCGAATCCTTCTAATCACCACCTGTGCATCCCCAGCAAAGACGATAGAATGAAGACCTCGTGCCAAACACCAACGAATCGCATCCCGAAAAGCTAACAGCTCCACCAAGGAGGGATCAAAAATCCCCACATACAAGGCCGCTGAAGCCGCCACCACCACGCCCGATGGATCCTGCAAAACCCAACCTCCAGGCCCGTGGGAACCACGCAGCGTGGCCCCATCAACAAACAACACTAACTCCCCAGGCGGGACTGACTCTCTAACCGCTAGGCGAGGACCCCCAGGACCTGGAAAAGGCGGCCTTTGTTGATTATCAGGAACGGAATCCCACTCTGTGACCTGCGAACGAAACTGAGAAAGCAAAACAGGGACAATGAACTGAGTGAAATCAAACACAACCCAATTTCGCGCACGCCAAACACGCCAAAAAAGAGCCACCACCCGCATCAGCGTGCTCCGGTCCAAATTGCCTTCCTCGAGAACCCTGCGCCAAAAGATGCTTATATTGTTAAGTGGGAACCGATCTCTCAGCAGGTGAAGCTCGGCCCCCTCCCAGAGCTGCAGCGCTACATGACATCGGAAGAAGAGATGCTCAAGAGACTCCACCTCCTCCCCGCAGACTGGACATGGCTCCAGCCCCTCCATCCCGCGAGTACTCAGTGCCTCACCAGTTGGCAAGACACCCCGGACAAGCTGCCAAATAAAATACCGCAGTTTAGGCGGTATCGGAGTGGCCCAAATTCGTTTCCACAGGCTACGGTCCCAGGATAGAGCGACTGCCTTCACCTGCAGCTCCTTCTGCCGTCTTAACTCGACCGCCTTGTGATACCCTGATTTGACAGTATAACATCCAGAGATTTCTCCATCCCAGACCAGGCGATCTGGCACAACCTTAATGGGGAGAGGAATAGCCAAGATAGCTTTAACCGTGTCTTCTTCAAAGATCTGACGAAGGCAATCTACCCTCCAGACACCCTGATTAGGACAAATCAAAGACGCCACTTTGCCTTCCACTCCAATAATACCCTGTCGCGGTTTGGGGGGAAACGGATGTAGAGCTGGCACCCAATTATCAGTGAGCACTTCTACTGAATCCCCTGACCCAATTTGCCATCGAAGCCCTTGGAGAAGCAGATCACGCCCTCGAAGAATGCCACGCCATCCCCAAGATGTGAGAGACCCAGTCCTTGCACTCAAGATACTTGAATTGGGAAAGTATTTCCCTTTATACACTCGAGCCAACAAGGAATTGGGATCCTTCCAGATTCGCCAGGCCACCTTAGCCAGAAGAGCTTGATTAAACTCTTCAAATCTACGGAAACCCAACCCACCCTCCTGCTTACCGAGGCACATCGCTTTCCAAGAAACCCAATGGATCCGCCTTTCCCCTTGTTTAACCCCCGACCAAAACCGAGCCAAATGTCTATCTAGAGAACGACATAGAGTCAGAGGGAACAGGAAACAAGACATCCCATAAATGGGTAAAGCATTAGCAACTGCCTTCAGAAGAACTTCTTTAGCGGCCCAAGAAAGACACTGCTGCTTCCATCCCTGGAGTTTTTGGATGACCCTTTCCTCTATATATCGGAACGTATCATACTTCGACCTCCCCACCAGAGAAGGGAGACCCAAGTATTGATCCGTTACACCAATAGCTCCAATCCCAAGTAACTGCCCCATCTCTTGTGCATCCCGTGGAAGAACATTCCTGCTAAAGCAGACTGCCGACTTATCTAAATTTACCTTTTGACCGCTGAGCTCCTCATACTGGTGCAAGAGAACCATGAGACTAGCACATTCGGCTCGAGAAGCTCGCAGAAACAGGTATGAATCATCTGCGAAAAATAGGTGCGAGATCACAGGACATCTGGGACTAATACGAAGACCAGAAAGAGCACGAGACGATAACGCTTGTCTAAGCAGAGCAGCAAAGCCTTCTGTGCAAATAGAAAACAAAAGCGGCAACAACGGATCACCTTGTCGAAGTCCCCGCGAAGCTTGGAAATAACCAGACGGCTGACCATTCATGAGAACAGAGAACGATGAAGAAGACACACAAACCCAAAGCCATCTAATCCATTGCGCACTGAAACCAAGTTTCTCAAGCAATGCGAACAAAAATGGCCATTCCACCCTATCATATGCCTTCTCCATATCCACCTTGACGGCCATGAAACTCTGTTTTCCCACCCTCTTATTTTTCAGGTACTGCATCACCTCATGCCCTATAAGAACATTATCCACGATTTGCCTGCCTCGTACAAAACCGTTCTGCCCTGGAGAGACAATTGATGGTAAGTATCGAGCAAGCCTCTCAGCTAAAATCTTCGCAATGATCTTATAGGAAAATTGACATAGACTAATGGGCCGAAGATCCCTCATATTTTCAGCATTATCAACCTTTGGAAGGAGCACCAGCCAAGTATGATTACAGTTTTTCAGGAGGGAGCCAGTATCGAAAAAATGTCGGACCGCCATAATCACATCAGGACCCACTATCTCCCAGAACTTCCGATAAAAAACTCCTGTGAACCCATCCGATCTTGGTGCCTGCGTAGCTCCGATTTGAAAAACGCTGTTGCGAATCTCCTCCGGAGAGACCTCGGCAGTCAACCTAGAATTCATCCGATCCGTCACTCTTCTCTCAATCTGCAGCGCCCCCACCTTCTCCAAAACTGACTGAGAGTCCAAACCTCCCGACGTGAACAGATGGGTATAAAAATCATTAGCAATTAGAGCTTTTCCCTCCTCCGACGTCACCGAATTTCCCGCGGGGTCTTTGAGACTATGAATGTAATTATGGCGACGACGGGCCCTAGTAACATTATGAAAATAGGAAGAATTCTTATCACCCTCCTTCAACCAACCCACCCTGGACTTTTGTCGCCAATAAATCTCTTCATCCACCCAAGCCGCGCGTAGATGGCTTTCAATCTCTCGAAGCTTTCCCCAGTCAACATCAATAGCGCCTCTCGTAACATCCCATTCCCGTTGGAGGCTCCGAATTTTCCGTTCGGAGTTACTCTTACCAAGCTTACTCCATTCATATAACCGGTGCCTGAGGGCTTTAAGTTTGCACCATAGACGAAACATAGGGGTACCATCAAAGCTCATATCCCACACCTCCTGGACAATGTCCCGAACTTCTGGATTCTCACACCACCTAGCGTCAAAGCGAAAGAGCTTCTTTCCCCGACGTTGGACAGATTTCGTGGCCAATAACAGTGCTCTATGGTCCGACTCTTGGTCAGAAAGATGATGGAGAGCCGAATCAAGCAATTGATCTAGCCAACCGGCCGAGACCAAAGCCCGGTCAAGGCGCTCCTGGATCACCCGTTGCGGATTAGAATTTCTGTTTGACCAAGTGAACTGGGGACCAACAAAGCCCAAATCATGCAGACCCAGATCATCCACAAATTCACGGAAGTTAAGAGATTGAGCAGGAAGCCAAGGATTACCACCCTCTTTTTCCTTAGATGCAAGTAGAGAATTAAAATCCCCAACAATCGCATATGGAACTCTTAAGCGCGAGCACAAACTTTGGATGCGAGTGAACTGGTTTGTGCGCGTCTGGTAATCGCAACTCAAGTAAACGAACACCACCACATAATCTAAATTGTCTTTATTCAATTGAAAAGCAATAAATAAGGAGTCACTACAAAGGACTGAGACTGAGATCCCAGTAGACCAACCTAAGGCAAGGCCGCCGGCAGCGTGGGCAGCATCAACAAAAAACATGCGAGAATTAGAAAAACCTAAGCGCCTAAACTGGGAACTACGACATCGCGCTTTGACAAAGTCTCCGACAAGCAAACGACATCGGGAACAAACTGAAAATTCAAAGAAACAAGCTGCCGAATTGTCGTGACTGGCCCAATGCCACGACAATTCCAGAACATTAGCTTCATTTATTCACTGGGGGCCACTCGCGGCTGGCTTCCTCCACCGTATCCTCATTACCATCTCCATCTCCGTCCGGGTCTTGGCGAACTTGATCCGCCTCTTTCTCTTCCTCGCCCAACAAATCATCATTGTCGAGTCCGACATCCTGCATAACAGAAGGGTCAAAGCATAATTTCTTTGGAGGCAGAGGCTTATTCTCAGAAACAGTCATCATCTCTTCATTGCCTCTCTTTTTGTCAAATAGCATCTCCTCCAATTCGCCTAGACTCATCTTGAAACCAGGCTTCGGACGCTTCTGCCCATCTTTCCCAGAACGTCCCTGTGTCCCCTTTGAGGCTCCACTAGAACGCGCCGCCGGGGCAGCCTTTTTATGCTGGGTTTGCTGCTCACCAGGTTCGCGAATGGATATCCCTGAGTTTCGGGCTCTTGAACGGACCATCTCAGCGGTCCTCTTACCATCATCAATCATCTTACCCTTGCCTTTTTCCGATTCAGTGAAACGCCGACCTGACTGTCCAGAACCCAGCATTACAGCTTGAGAGCCAGACCTGCCTTGTTTCTGTCCACCAGCCCCTTCGTGTGTCTCTTCTCGTCCTGCTGTCACAAACTCCTGCATACGGGCAGCAGCAGAAGAATTCTTCCTATTAAGTATGGCCTCAATGCCCAACAAATCTGGTTCCACCAACCGATCAGCCGCAACCTGCGAGACAGAAACAATTATGTGACATGAGAATCCATCCCACCAATGTTTCCACGGATATCCACCATCCTCACATCCATAACTCATGTCCAGAGAAACAGCTCGTAGCCAAACGACTTGATAATGCAACTGACATCCCAAAACAATATGACATGAGAAAAATTGCCATACTCCAACAAGTAAACCAATTAGAGCAAGCCTATGCGAAGTTCTAGTTCTTAATTGTGGACATATCCCCCATAATAATGTGTACGCAGCTCTTCTATTAATGACACTAACAACATAGCAATAAGCACCCAGAGATGTACATAAACCCCCATTCATACCAGGAGTAAACCCATGATTTAAGCGAGCCAAAAAAAGGGCCAGAACTACCTCTTGAGGGACGACACGCTCCACCTCCATTGGAGCTAAATCCAGCTGTTCAACTTCGTTCACCACTTCATCCAGCTGGTTCGGGTTGATCCAGACTGAACGTATTGGCAGCAAAGTAGCCTCATCTAGGCGAAATCCCACCGGATCAGTCGACAGCTCAGGGCCATACACCTCGTTCCCTTCATGCCGAGGGAAGCGACATGCCCGCTCCGCATGACCGATTCTGCCGCAGTTGAAACAGAACAAGGGAAGCCTCTCGTACCGAAGTACAACCCTGAACTGGCCTAGTCTTGGATTACTTGCTGTCAATCTCGTACGGAGAGGCAGCTCTACGTTAACACGAACTCTAGCTTTGACAAAGTACCCCAGGTCACCCCTGGTACCAAATAAGCCAGTATCCACTTCCTCTCCGAGTCTTGCTGCCAACCGACGCCCCAGCTTCACTGTGCGGCATTGGGACGGGATGTCCCACATCTGGATCCAAAAAGGAACCCAAGCCAGTTCTTGGTACAATTCGGGAGTGACAGGGGCCCATTCACGGAGCATCAAAATGTGATCCTTGATAATCCATGGAGCCCGCAGCAGCACCCTTTCCCGATCACTCTCATCAGCAAACAAGAATTGCAATAGCCCCATGTCCGCCTCCAAGACCACCACGGGGGAATTACAGCGCCATAAGTTATTCACAATCCTCTGAAGAAGCGGGATGGGCATATTCTCCATGAACAGTCGCCCAATCAAGCTAAGCCTTGATCGAGCCATGCTTTCCTCAACATCTTCGTCCTCGAATTCCACAATCTGGTCATTGTCCTTGGATGAGCCCATGATTGTCGTTTGCTTCCTAGCCAAAGAACTCCTCGAAATTGAGCCTGAGAATTAGGTCGATGTCTTCCTGTGAGTTCTCTCAAGATAGAGTGTGTTATTTTGCCGCCTGCATGCGTGGTTTTTATAGGGGATAACCGCCTTTCCATCCCTACGAGACGTTCGAAGGAATGACTCACAGCCCCAATCCAAAATTCCCAGACGCATATCAATCCGGCAACTGCCTGGTGAGGAGTAGAGCATATCCCCAATCCCGAATTAGGGATTATTTTGAGCAAACCGATAAGCACGAATCCTCCCGAAAACCGTTGCATGCGCCCGAATCCGGGTATTAGCTTGAAGATCCGGCGTCGAAAACCCCTCCGCCTCCCCACAACAAGAGGAGAAAGTGCAGGGCCATCGGGCTTGATCTTGAGATATTTTCGTCGATAGAGACGAAGGATGATTATCCCCAAAAGGGATTTAAGATTAACCCTACAACGAGGGAAACATAATAATCCTCCAAATGAGGTATAAATCGGCCCGAATCTGGGCTTTCCTTGCTGATAATGATTATGCCATCCTCCATTATCCACCGATCCGATCGGAGACTGGGGAGGAAGCTTGGTCGACTCGCCGCCATCTTCTCCCTCCGCGAGAGCATCTGGGGGCATTTTTTTTTTTAACGTTTTTGTTCTGTTTCTCTAGGATCAATGATATAAAATATCACTTTTAACAAATTGGTCACTAATATCTAAAATTTACGGTCATTTGCTTCGTATAAATGAAATTTTTACTAAATTTTGGATTTTGTAAAATTATGAGGGTTTTTTTTTAATCCACCTGCTTCTCTTACAACATATATTATGGTCGTTGTGGAGAAAGTTTTTGTCACGTAGGACAAAGAAAGCTCCACAATTTTTCATGTTATTTACGATTTTAACATTTTAAGTTATTAATTACATTAAAATAAAACTAAATAAACATTTATATCAATCATCATGACCACGAGTTGAACCTTGACCTATGAGTTCAAACTATCATCATTTCAAGTGTTCAACCAGTAGGACAAAGTATATTTAATGTTATTGATCACAACAAAATATGTATATCAATGACCATAACTAAGATTTAATCATGCACCCTAGAAGCTCAAACTATTATCATTTAAGTTGTTTAACCAATAGAATAAAACCACTTTTATAGAATTAATCACAACAAGATTAATACTCATTTTATAAAAAATGGTACAACACATAAATTCTATTTTTATTTAATGGTTGGCTTCTTTACATTACACAATAAAAACTATCACGGTTAAAATTTTGTATTTTATTTTTAAGAAATGATAGAAGTCATTAACAACTAAAAATAACCTATTTTAATTTTTAGTTTATATTATGTTTGATAATTTTTATAATTTAAAAAAAAATAATTAAAAAATCTGAAAATCATGAATTTAGTTAGTACCCAATTATTAAAAAATGAAAACTAAAAAGCAGAGAATAACCTTCTTTCGTATTTTAGAACACGAAAAAATTAATATTTTTTTGTACGAACTACTATAAATATGTGAACCAATACAGTTATGTTGCAATTTGTTAGAAAACAACTAATTCATACACTCTTATCGTATTGTACTAGAAAAATATCAAAAAAAATTTCTTACTAGATTATTAAGAGATAATAGCTGAAGTAAAAAATGATGGTTTGCCAAGTCAAAAAGTCATAATAAATTATTCATGTGCGATGTTCCTATATTTTAAAATTAATGAAATATATCAACATAATTCAATTTAGTGATACACAACAATTTCATGTATTTAAGAATATCACCAGACGCCAATGGTCACCAAATTTTTTGTATCTTTTTCAAAATTGAATTATGGTTATATGACTTAAATATGTATGTGCTCAACTGGTAAGAAGTTACAAGAAAAATAATGTACATATACATATATGTATCTGTCTTCTTTGGGGAATGAATTTTACATTTCTCGGATATTTAATGATATCATTATCTTTTCTTTTATGCGATTCCAATTTCATTCTATTTTCAAAATTTTGTACGTCATTGAATTTTCTTTCATTCACAATTATAAAACACTTTGTCTTTACTTTTTTCCTGACGTAATTATAATTTTTTTCTTTTCTATTTTTATTGTTTGACATTAGTTCTTTTCTTTTTCATAGAGTGTACATTTGCAGCTTTGAGTCACGTTCAGATGCATAGCATCATAATTAAAAAAAAATCTGAACGAATCTTAAACTATTGGATGTATATAATGGTTGAGATGTAAATAACTATTTTAATCCTTACTTAATGTGACACTCTAATACATATATTACTATTATTATTTTTAGTTACCAGTTATACACGCCAGATAACCCGACTCATAAGATAATAGTATAATTCTTCTCCGTTACCTTTAAGAGTAGAGCTCGAAAAGACTTATTGTCCCTTCCATTGACCATGGCAAAATATGGAGTATTCAGTCTCCCGTCACCCATCTCTCAGTCCTTACTCGCTTAACTTAATTGTCAAGATACATATGATATGATATATCTCATTCAGTCCAATAAACATCCATTCATCACCACATGTCATACCACATTCATCATCTCAAACTCAAAGAATTCGTACATTAACAACATAAGGACCATCACCCAGCCTCTTGATAACTCACTGTATAAACATGTATGCATCAAGTATCACATCATATAGACATTGCCATTTAACCCCGTCCTAACATAGCGAAACATCACACCATCTAATGGTAAATAATTGTCTAAAACACCATAGAAAACCATCACATAACCATAATCATCGACATGCACATTTCACATATCACATCATAGGAAGTCATCACTTAACCACATCATAAGTAATCTTTATACAAGGATTTAATCACATGCATGGTTAGGTTGATTAAGTGTTTTTTTACTTCTTAATTTGCCAAGTCATACACTCCACGTATAGTACATTAGATGTCATGTATACCACCGTGGATCGTACCTAGACTGGTGTCATATAAATCAACTACGGGATCATACCCTAACCGATATCCTGTATAACAGCATGGGACGTACAAGGACCAGTGTCCTGTAAAACCAACGCATGATCATACCCTCACCAATGTCCTGTAAATTCATCTACTGTACCAATTTCACAACAGGGCGCCTTTTATGTTTGTATTAAGTTATCACACAATTCCAATTACAAATCAGTCACACAGTTAATATTGGATGATAATGTGAAGTGAAGATACAGTGTCTCTATAACTAACATTTAGATTCGTTATCATTCACAAAATGTTGAAGGCAATATAGAAGCATAGCAAGTTTGGTTGTACTATAATATAATAGTGGAAAAGGCTAGCGTACACTTGAGGTGCAATATACACCTTCATTCACACCTATTAGTTGTACTTTAATATATTTTGGGGTTAATATATTTGTATGACCTGAACTTTGCACATAATAAGAAAAAGAAAATGGTAATAGGTGCAAAATATTAAAAAATTTAAGCGAAAGTTGCTTACTTGGCAGTGACGTGGCGCGTTTACCGTTAGTCAACGCGTTTGACCATCCAAGATAACGGTCAAACATCGGGTTTGACCAATTCCGTTACTTTGATGCATAGTTTGGGCTAGGATGTTATAGATCGAAAAGATTGTCCAAAATGTTTATTATGTGCAAAGTTCAGGCCATACAAATATATTAACCCTATATTTTGACAAATAACAATCCTTGGTTATTATTTTTGTATTAAATGAATCTTACGATTTGGATTGAGAATTAGAGACTGGGTTCACCCATTAGAGACTATGATATAGTATCATGTCCCAAACTCCGTTAATTCATGGTCTAAATAGCAAAATTCGATATAAGTACGGTAAGGTGACGTACGCTAGCTTAAACCATGTACAACTTATGAAGTTGAAAATTGCTGGTCCAATCAAAGATTAGATGGTGTGAATACTATTTACCAAGCAGTGATAAAGTTACAACGTTGTTTGACATTATTGTTGATCATGATTAAAACCTGGAGAAAATATATTGCCCCTCATATCTTTTTTATATACAAAGCGCCCCTCATATCTGATGAAACACGGATAATAGATAACAATAATAAATAAATATGAAAAACTAGTAGTCCAATACCATTGGAAAAATGATATATAATAGAAATAAATGTACAAAAATTTGAAACTTGCCGCCCATCGGACGAGCACAAAACTAGTTTATTAATTAAGTAGGAGTAACAAAGTGAGAGTCCTTAGCCAAAGCTTGGGCTAAGAAGAGAGGTGGGTTTAGAGTCCACACTTCTTCATCATCCCAATTACAAATAGAGCGGGCTAAAAGGTGGGATGGTCTGTTACCATCTCGTCCCATAAACATGAATCTAACGTCACCCAACCGGCTCGCTTCTCCTCTTATCCCTTCGCAGACCTCGTCCATCTCCAGCAACTACTGCATTTCTCTCTCAAGCTTCTGAACTAGCAACAAACAATCCGATTCCATATCAAGTGCTAGAAAGCCATATCGATTGGCTAATTCCAGAGCAAAAAGAATCCCCATTGCCTTTGCAATCTCCGGCGACCGTTGTCGCCTCGTTATCCTAACCACGTCCAGCCTAAATTCCCCTATGTAATTGCGGAAGAAAGCTCCCAACCTGTTCCTTCCGATTGGAAAACCGTCGTGTCCACGTTTACCTTCACTCGATCAATCGCTGGGGGAAACCAATGGTTGGTTCTTTGGGTCGACAGATGAGTGTCTCTTTGCTGTTTTAGTTGATATTCCTGCTTCCATTCTAGCGCATGTGTAACAATCTCACTTTCTTCTCTCTTCTTGTTGTTCCACAGATGGTTGTTGCGTTCGTTCCAGATGTACCAGAGAACCACCATCACCGATTCGATAGCTTCCACCTTCTCACTGCTTGTAGTTCACAACACCACTCCTCATAGGTACCCCCTTACCCTTTATTAAAGAGTCTATATAGCTCAGATGGTTGCCAAATCCTT